GTAAACACCACCCTCAACCCTGGCCTGTTGGCCATTATTGAAGGCAATAAGTGCCCTTTTTAGCCATCCATTATGATCCATATACTGTTATTGGCAGTAGGCTAATTGCAATATAAAAAAACCTTTCAAAAAGACAAAAAAGTTGAAGAAATAAAAAAATCCAATAAAAAAAAAATCATGAAAAAATTGCCAACCCTGCTTGGCAAGCGGTGATCCATGGATTTTTTGATCCATGGTTGTATGTGTTTGCCAGCCTTGATTCCATTTCTTCAAGCCATGAATTCCATATCTCTGCCATGAAGTTCTATTTAGGTGCCACAAACTTATTTACAAAGTTGCATGCACCAATGATGATGCACATGTTATCTCAAATGTCTAATTTTACCCTAAAAACAGTTCAATCATACAATTACAGCAACACTAACATTTGTCTTCACTTGAGTGGCGACTGTACATGTGATAGTGCAGTCTGACTGCAACTACGTGATATTCAAGAAAATATTTTTGGGTTGACTTGTTATTATGTTCTGCAGGATATTTTGGCCAGAGCGTTGAAGTACAGTAATGCAGATTGTGGAAGTTGAAAATTTTACGAATTAACATGTTTGCCCTCGAACAGGTGTAAAATATATCTACTTCTTGTTCTGCAGCTATAGCTTTTGCAGTCATGTATGGAGCTGCAAGTTTCATGCTAGATGATTTAGGTTTTATTGATCTGATTGTTAGAAAGAGAAAGATCAAGCTGTTTGATTGTGAAACATATTGAAAATGCCACTTCAAAGCAATGAGATTTCAGTTATAATTATGAATTTAGTTTTGCCAGAGTCATTATGCCCTCACCTGGGTCTGTGGTAGGGCTTGGCTTGGGTTAATCATGTGGCTTTATGATAACTTTTTTTCATTACCAATGGACCAAAAAACTAACAAAAATATATTTCTGTAGCTCTTACACTGATTTTACTTGTAGTATTGATTGCTTTTGAATATATGAATTGGATAGAAGCAGCACAACAGTCTTGTTAAGGGAGCATCTGCCCCAAAAATTATCTTGGATATCAACAGACGGATCGATTCAAAATTTGGTACACGTATGTAAAACAGAATTTTGTTTTTTTGTTCATGTGAATTCTTCAAAAGAATGAAAGAAAACATGAAATTCTTAGAAAACGTCTATAAAGGGGGTACTATAGAAATCCTAAATCCTCCTTGGATTTTCAAGCTACAACATCGAGACACATCATTCGATGCGTAAAGACCATATCTAAAAACTGGTGGTGGGGGTTTTTGAATTTCTCATTTTTATTGGTGTGGGAGCATTTTTTCCAAAATGTTTCAAAATTTTTTGATTTTACCTCCTCCCTCCCCCCTTTTTGTAAAATATAATCCAAACTATAACAAACTTGGAAAAAACCCACCACCAGTTTGTAGATCTTTTATTTGCAAAGATCGGTTTATGTCATTGAAGTAGCTTCAAAACTCTAGGAGGAGATAGGTTTGCAGTGACAATAAGTTAACTTTTCAGTAGGGTCCGACAAAGTTGCGGGCACCTCAAAAAAGACATTCAAGGGTGCAAGGTTGTAGGACTAGATGATATTTGAGCTCAATTTCTGTCAAGGATGGTGTGAACAATGGCACGAGAGTCATCCAATACGACTGCAGATGGATAATTGAAGCACAGCGTGTTAAGACTAGCCATTTAAGTGTGCTACCGGTAATTTTGGCCTATCTTTAATGTTGAAGAACTCCACCACCCCAAACCCTTTCACGATCTGTGGTGAACACATAAATCAACGTACAGAGATGGTTTTGGTACCATTAGATGTGTCAGAATATAAGCTGCAAGACAAGTATATGAACCGAAAAATTCAAAATTTTTGATTTTGGGGAAGACACTCCCCTTGTTGAATTTATTAGTGCCAAAGTTGTGAAATTATGATGAAAAATGGTACCGTAAAATGGGGTAACTTTGACCACTTTTTTTTAAATGATGCCATTTTTCGATAAGGTAAACTTGAATTGAAACGTGCAAAATACAGGTCTATACTCTAGCTTCACATCACCATAAATTGCTGGCTCCTGCCTCTCATAGTTTTGATGTAATTTCAAAAAAAAAAAAAAAGTGATGGTCTTTGTTACCCCCCACTTTGGGGTTTCTTTGACTGGGTGGTAAAATCAATTTTATTTCTTGGTCAAATAACTCCAGGTTTTGGTGCAATGTAGTAGAACTCTTCTAGTTACATAAGCAAATGACAAATTTTAGGTAAGTGTCATAGTTTGCAAATGGGAGTGCCACCCCCCAATGGGCGAAATGTGACCATTTAATCTCTGAAACATAAACATAAATGAAACATAAAGAAAAAACATTAATAGGTGTATCAAACATGAAATATGTTATATAGGTACCTATAGTAATTTTAACTTAATTTACAAGCCGGTCAATGTTACCCCGTCACGGCTGCCATTAGGTGGTCAGAGTTCCCCCATTGTGGGGCAGCACCCCCCATTTGCAAACTATGACACTTTCCTAAAATTTGTCATTTGCATATGTAACTAGAAGAGTTCTACTACAATGCATCAAAACCTGGAGTTATTTTACCAAAAAATGGAAAAATTGTAGGTGGGTACTCTGACAAGCTTTAAATAATAGCTCTTTTTCGTGGGTCGCATTTATAATTTTTTAACCTATTAGATAAGCAAACTTTTTAAATCTTTCTATTGTGTTATGTAGCCTCAGTATTAGACCTTTAATGGCCATTGACAAAATTTTTCTATGTCAAATAGTTATTGAGTTTTGGGGGTTTTTGTTAAAAAAAACAAAAAGTGGTCAAAGTTACCCTGGGAGTCAAAGTAACCCCATTTTACAGTACCAAGAAAAAGTATATATATATATAAATAAAAATGTTGAAGTATTCACTAATGTTACAAATAAAATGATATAGTTCAGCTATATATAAAACTTTTTAATCATTTTAGTAACTTAATGAAATGGTTGCATAAGTATACATATGAAACATACCAAGAAACAAGAATGCATTAGTATAATTTGAAATTCCATGATTTACAAGTAGGAGTTGATCCAATTAGGCAGCTAGGTAAATAGATTATACCAGAAAACCTAATGTGTGTCTGAGATTCAAATGGACAGTCAGCCATTCTGTTTTTTTTTGGTATGAAGTTTGGTTATATAGTTTTTGCACACACCATACATGAAAATCAAAGCAGGTGATGTTACCAATCTGAATGAGTGCAGATATGTACTTGTCCATAAGTTTTTTTTTGTACATTATTTATTAGTTAATGGTGATAAGACTTGTTACTCATCATGGATGCTAATATAAGAACAAGATGGTTTGATGATGTTTGAAAAGATGGTAATATCTTAATTCTTAACCTAAAAGGCCCTACTGTATTGTCTGGCTAGTGTAAAATAGGCATATTTCTGAGCCACAACTAAAGCATTACCATGATTTCTGGAGTTGATAGTTTTATGCAAAGTGCAAGTTTTATTCATTATTTATGTTATTTTAACAATATTTGTTATTTATCTCAAAACATGATTTTGGTGACAGCAAATTTTGGCATGACTAATAAGGTTCAACCTCTCTAATCTTGACGAGCAAATGTAAGAAGTATATTTATACCAATTGTATAGTATACTGGTATGTATACAATTTACATACCTATAGTCCATCTATGTATACATGCATTACAGAAAAAATGTGCAACAAGTGATTTTAAATTGAAATTATTATGTATACTATTGTCATATAATTACTACATTTTACTATATAATTTAAAAGAAAATGGCCTTATTATTCCAAACTTGGTTATGATGAAGAGTGCACTGCTTTATACACCTATAGTTGTGTTTGAGGGAGTGTGGCATCCATGCAACTGCTCTCCTTGTTGGCACTTGTTCTTGGCACCTAAGACTAGTTACGTCAAATTTGTAAATGTATTATTGAGAACCCTCTTGACTTCAAATAAATCTTTTTGCTTTCAATATTAATATTTTAGCAGATAAATTTGTTAGGAAAATAGTGAAAATATCAGTACCTAGCACCTTGTGCATCTTTTCCTCATTGTGGATATGGGCTGCTATCATTTAGACTCCTAATGATCATTCATTCCTAGATTATTTTTTAATAACATGTGTAACTAATCTGAAATCTGAATCCACCATAGCTTTGGTTCATTTATGGATTGTATGTTGGAACTCAACATTCCATAATATTCTTATACAAGCAATCTTTGACCCTGATTGCTTAGCATTGCTTGGCAGTTTTAACTCCTTTTTGTCTCACAGTATCCAAGTAAAGAAGAACTGCAGTTGAAATTCATAGGAATATAATGTATTACTTTATCAAATGATAATTTTTTTCATGTATAACCTAGAGTAAGCTGTGTTATTCACGTTACCTAATAAAAGAATAGAAAAACAAGAACAGTTACTGTGCACATAGTAACCAGAACAATTTTCTATTTGTATTTTGTCTGTCTTCAATTTAGGGTGAAATTAGTCTAGTTACAATTTAATTCCACCAAGTTAGTTATTACTGCTGGGCTATTTTAATGCAAAATAGTTACATGACAAGATGTTCAGACCTTTTTTTATTTCATTGTGTTGGACTGGTTTATCTGTTAATTGCCTAAAATAACATTCAGCTTCTAATTGTACATGTGATATCCTTTTGATAGCCTACATACTTTTAATATTGATTTGCATTTTGGTTTTAATTTTTAATTTCTTAATCATATTCATTATTCTATCGTCAAAAGTGCACAATCTTTATGCTATGAATTTTATATTGGCTGAGTCATTGTTTAGATAGTTGTTTGCTTGAGTGACTTGTCTTTCATAAATCTATTCATGATATCAGTTTTGACTATGTGCTATCTCAATATTTTGTGATTCTCTTTCTGACCTCATTATTATGATGATTTTCAGTGTGGCATCTTCCAAAAAGATTGCCAATTTTCTCATCTTCCCCTTTCCCCAGGTCTCGTTCTCCTGTTGGTGGTGAAGAAGACAGCACCCGAGACAGGAACCGAAGAATGGACAGAAGCAAACCAGTCTCTAAAGTTCGGTAAGACGTCACTCCTGCTAACTCCGAGGTTTTCACCTCCAGATGTGCATTTCAAGAAAAATGCAATATGGGCTCTTTGTACCATTGTAAGAAAAATGCAATGTTTTGAAATAATTCTAGCCAGAATTGGTATTTAGAACTCCCATGCCTCTGGAGTTGCTTGAGCAAAGTTTAATTTTAATTGTCTGACACCAAACACTTTGAATAGTCACTGTAATTAATGGACTAACACCAACCAATTGGACTGAAACCCCTGTCATAATGGACAGAAACCAACCAGTTTACTGTACAGTCAATATCACTAAATAAACAGACACCACTTGGACAGACACTTGATGTTTTGAGGCAGTGGATAAAATCTGCTGTTTTGCTCAAACAAGTCACGGCATGAAGAGATGGCAATTTCCTTGGTGCAGTGTGCTTCAAGTTACAGTTGACTAGTTGTTGTCTTTGTGATGCTGTTGCCTGCGCTGTATAATGCTGGAGAGGTCTAATGGGACCTACTTACTGTCTCGAGCGACCGTATTGTTTTTGATTTATTAAAATGTGAGTAACACCACAGTAAGCTCAGGATATACTGAAGTATGTTTTACAGCTGTGGTGTGACGTACCATACAATGTTCAATGAGTTGAATTGTAATTACACATTGCCATCTGTAAATTATTGAACATGAGAGTGGTAGTCATTATTAACTGATTAAGAAAAAAATTGAACAATTAATTCTTAGGCTATTAGAAGTTGAATAATTACTGAAATTAGAATGAGCACTAAAAATGTTGTAAATATGCAATAAGTAACCATCATTCATTAGTTCTGTAGAGCAACATATAAACTCTAATGTAAAGGAGAGCAAGTAAGTATTTTATGGAGAGGACTCCTAATTTAGTCATTTCACTCACCTTCATAAATCATTCCTATGGCACAAAGATTAAACTAACCCATGAGTAACAAAATAAACAAACTAGTTAGGAATAAAATGAATGAAGAGTAATGAATTAGAGCCAGTAATATCATCAAGGCTCGACTGGGTAGTGAGTAAGTGATACAAGTAACATTGAGTGTGACAATAATTATTCAAGTAAACAAGCAGTGAGCAAGTTAATCTTTTAAGAAGTGCAATAGACAGACTAAAGCACCATACATTTAGCACTCAAAATAAGGAAAACTTGTTTGCAAATATTGTATTAAAACTACTCACAAACCTGATATTTTCATATTAAAACTGTACCTAAGCATCCAGCCAAGTAATTGCAGTCACTTTTGATTATTTACATTTCTTCCTGCATGTTCTCATAATTTCATCATCTGACCTACGGTACTACTTGTTCACTTTTCACATAGGATAAGCCATTGTCTAGATAGTTTGTTATTAGCAGTGAGAAAGGAGTTTCTTCAAGGACAATATTAATAGATAACTTAATTGGTGTTTGAATTATAACAACAGGAATAAAGGAAAATACACTGATTTGACTTTTTGCAAAGTTCATTGTGACCCGATTCATTCTGATCAAAGTTTATCAGATCGAAGTTTATTCCTATTTTGTTATGTGTTATCACTTCTACTTATCTCTCTGGTCTGTGTCATTACTAAACAAACATATATAGTTGTATGTATACAGTCGTAAGTTACGAATTTATAGACCCATTACTGTTGGTTTTGCCTGTAATTTAACCTTGAAATTTAATTTGGACATAAATTGGCCTAAAACATTCTGATATTTTGGCAAACATAGTTAATGTTGAGCACAAGGTTAGACTTACCGTACGGTATATATGCTGAGGACAACTTCCTCAGTTTGAAGTGTTTCTGTATTACCTTTTGACTTATTAAATAGCTTCCTAGGGTGTGTAAAAAATACCTGTTTTATTAATCATTGACTCATAAAAACTCATCCTTTCTGTCCAATGATGAAACAGTAATCAGCCACATGCACTTAGTAATGACATTTGATAAACTGAAAGTTTAACGCAAGTGTGAAATTGTCACAAAATTTTTTATTTATTTATTGTATAGGGTATACATCTATACAGGAATAATTACTAATAACAAAATTGTAACCATTATTTGTTGTAGAATATTCTTGTGCACAGTCTAATACATGTTATAATATGGGCAGCGGCCGCAAAGCTCCCTCCAGTCACCGTGTCTATGTCTCCAACATTCCCTACGAGTACAAGTGGCAGGACCTTAAAGATCTCTTCAGAAATGAAAGTGAGTTCATGTTCTATTCAAGTCTGTATGTACAAACATAGAACTTGCTGTCATCTGGAATTCTTGATCTTAGTAACGTTGAATAGAGCGTTTTAGCTCATTTTCTCACATATGGAAAATCGGCACTATTGTGCTTGTCATGTCCGTCCGTCTGTCTGTCTGTCCGTGACTTCACGTTTTCGTCGACGAGAAAATGCGCTCTCTATCACTCGCTGCAGTGAATACTGAGTTATATTTTTTTTTAGCTCTGTACTGCTTGCACCAATATCTCTTCATTATCGCAACTACAAAAAAGGATTAATGAGGACTGAACGGCTGATGTTCATAGGTTGAGTTTCCTGGCCATAGTACCATGTTCTCTTGTACATTCCTCTTCTTGTTAATAAGATAAGTTGGTTTTCAGTTGGTGAAGTGAACTACGTGGAGATGTTCAAGGATGAGAGCGGTCGCAACCGCGGCTGCAGCGTCATAGAGTTCGAGACGGCCGAGCTGGCGCAGAAGGCTATTGATCAAATGCACAGATACGAGCTGGCCGGCCGCAAGCTCGTCGTTAAGGAGGTGACCATTTGTGTATTCTTTGATATGCACAATGTTTATGAAACCATTTGGCGGCATGACATATTATAGTCCATGCACAAAGCTGGGATTAGGGGAAACTTAGCCTTGTACATCAGGGAGTTCCTGGGCGGCGAGCGGCCCTTCAAAGTGAGTGTGGGAGAGTCATTTTCGCCTGTACGGGTGCAACACCAGGGAGTTCTGCAGGGCATTGTGATTAGCTGCACTCTGTTCCTGATGGCAATTAAATTTATTACCGCCAGCTTGCACCCGACCGTGCAATCCTTGCTTTATGTCGACTATGCTTCATCTCTTTACCTACCCGCTCGCGTGGCATAACACAAACGGACATAAATACCACCAATCATTGGACCATGGCTCGCGGTTCCTCATTCTCAAGTAACAAAACCGTGGCTATGCACTTTTCAGCTTAGTCGCTCTGAAGAAAAACCCCCTTCTTTGTTCCTACAAGGAAAACAAATTGCTGTGTCCCCCGTAGTTGAATTTCTTGGTATGACATGGTACAACAAACTCTCACGAAGACCCCATCTGTAGGCTTTAAAAGGCAACATCCTTTAGGGGATGAACTTGATGAAACACTTTATGGACAGTCATTGGGATGTGACCGGCTAACCCTCTTCTGCCTTTACAGAGTCATACTTAGCGCCAAGATGGCTATGGGTGAATCATATACAAATGTCAGAAAATTCCCACTAGCTTTACTAGACCCAGTTCACAACGCTGCCATCAGGATATATACAGGAGCATACAGAGCATCCCCCACCATCAACCTCTATGCAGAGAGTGGAGAACTATCACTGTATCGCCGCCGAGCGCAGCTCACGCTCCAGATGATTGCTCGCCTCTAACAAATACTATTATCTCCAACATGGCTCACTGTTAATGCCGAAGACCAAGCATCCCCATTCCCATACAACATCATATCATCTGAATGCTACGGAGCACTCTTTACAACAGCACAGGCCCAACAGATGCAGGTTTTGTCATCACGTTCGAGGACACTCCCACGTGGCGAATCCCATCAGTACATTCTGCCCGGATCAAAATAGAACTGTCGCCCCAACACATCAGCCCTTCATCATGACGAGATGTTCACCAGAATGTAATGGAGGACCAGTGAAGCAGCTTCAGAACTGACAACCTTGGACGACATTTGATAGAATGCAGCCTACTGCCAGAGATCTGGCTGGCATGACCTTGTGATGGCACCGCCTTTTAGTCGTATGCCGCGAAACTGTATTTGTTCCTAGCCCATCACCTAGACCAAGCCCCACTTCCTTGACATTGGAGCTTGTACATGAAGCTGGAGCAGACGCTCGCTCCATGAACAGAGAATCTACCGTCTAACCCCTGCACCTAAAGAGATCACATAAGGGGATAACTGCAGATCGTACTTCCGATGCGAAATAGATATCTTGAGCGCTAGCAAACCTTCTACTACTAATAATACTACTACATGCAGCCCTGCTGATGTACATACAAATTATTAATGAAGATATAGTACTCTTGTCTTGGGCTTGAGTTTAATGCTTAATATCAATGTTATCCTCACCCATTCTCTTGTCACGCTCATCACTCATCGGTTGCTGTGCAGGATTACGATATCGACCGCGACAGTCAAGGCAGGATCCGAAAGGACATGGGCCGAGGTGGTGGTGGCGGTGGCGGAGGCGGTGGTGGTGGTGGCTTGGGAGGTCTTGGCGGTGGTGGAGGTGGCAGCGCCATGATGCCCAGCCAGAACAGGATGGGTCAAGTAGGGCCTGTCAACTACGGCAACACTTATGGCCTCTCTGTCGTGTTTCTCGAGAGCCTCGGCATCAACGTACCTCTTGTTAATAAAGTCTTCGTAGCTAATGTGAGTTGGCGTCCAGTGTGGAGCACAGGTCCTAGAGTGTGATGCTAATTTCAGTCATGTTATTTATCCAGAATTAGCTTGATAATCTTTTTAGAGTTGAAAATATAGTTGTGAAGGATAAAAGAAAAGGGCAGGAGGATATTCGTTTGAGCTGAAGAAGGCAGCATGTGATTCTTGACTTAGTTTTCTCAACATGACTTTATGAGTAGGTAATTATTCAGTTAATTAATAGATATGTTGTGTTTGCAGCTGGACTACAGTGTAGATGAGAACCAGCTGCGTGAAGTGTTCAAGGTCGCTGGCAAGGTCGTCAATGTTGAGATCAGCAAGGACCAGGAGACGAGCAAAAGTCGGGGCTTCGGAGTTGTTGGTCAGTTGCCTACTGATGATTTATGATGCTTTACTACCATGATGTAGCATAATGCATTTACTGCCAAACTGTAGGATATATATTTACTGCCATGGTGTGGGATATGTATTTACTGCCAAATTTTGGGAAATTTATTTACTACCATGCTTTAGGATATGTATTTACTCCTATTTGTGGGATATGTATTTACTACCGTTTTATATCATTGCCTCATTTAGAGCTACAACCATAGGTCATAATAGTAAGCTTGTCACATAAATCATTATGTGTGATGTACTCACAAATAATGAAGGCTGTTAATCGCGCAAGGCTAAGGAATTTTCTTAGTGCGCCGTCTGTCTAACGTCGAATAATGTTAAGAATAGAACTCGAATTGATGATAGCCCAATTTTATTAGTATTATGACCGCATTGGAAATAAGATGATGTTTTCCTGGAACCACTGCAATCCTAAGCGCTTACAGCTCAACTCTTCAATTTTTTGTGCTCGCGAATTGTTTAATAAGCTAAACTGGTGTTTGCAGAGTATGAGCACCCGGTGGAGGCGGTGCAGGCGATCTCCATGCTCAACGGACAGCTTTACTTTGACCGCAAGATGAGCGTGCGCATGGACCGCGTGCAGGACAAGAAGAGCGACCCTGTGTCGGGCAGCAAACTGCCCCAGGGCCTCAAGGGTCTGGGCATGGGCCTCGGCATCAATGGCTCGCCACTCACTGACGTCTCCAGTGAGTTAATCTTTTATCTGCTCAGGGTAATTCCAGTTACTGCGCGTGGCACCCCCAAAAATACTAAAACCTAGTCCCGTATTTAGATCGGTCTTAGGTAGGTAGGAGGAGGTAGGATCGGTAGATTTAGGTCCGACATGGTCTGGCACTTCAAATACCTACGCGAAATCGACATGTCTATACTCACTTTCTATGTTCTAGCCCTGCCCCGAAGATGAAATTTTGGCCGGTGAAATCAGCCGCTGCTCCAACGTGCTTTAAACTTGGCCTCGTTTTTTTCCCTTTGCGAATAATGCTCTGAAACTTTTATGGGCTGATCCACAAAAAAAAAAAAAAAAAAAAAAAAAAGGCGTCCTGGGGGAAAAACTGAAATAATTAAAAATATTTGCCAATTGTTGAAAGTCCAAAATTTTTTTTTGACATCCCGATTTTTATAGATTGTAGAGAATTTTGTAAGGCTAGGCAAGTCTAGGTAAGGCTGGTTAGAGTTGTTATGGGTATAAATTAAGAGAATAAAATATGAACAAGTCAAAGTTAGGGTAGCTTAATTATTTTAGGGATAGGGCAAATGGCCATTTAAGGTTTGCTTCAGTAGAATTAAGAAAGGTTATTAAAGGTTAGGTAAGAAAATATAATTTTTGTTATTATACATATTATATTATGTCATTAACTTCCTCATTTGTAGTGGAAAGTTTGAAAATTGTTTCGTGAAGGTTATGTAAGACAAGGCTCGGTTGCTCATGGTCAGGTTAGGAGATTCAGCCAGGTTGTCATTCAAAGGTATTCTATTTGGTCCATTTTATTGGAATGAAAGGAGTTATTCCCTGAACGGTGTACAGGGAACAAAAGGAGCTATTGGTGATATTTTCTAAATGCGCGTGTACTTTTGAATTCAACTGCTTGCGCAATCTGCATTGTTCATTGAGTTATGCATCCTTACCCTCATCGTCTATTGCATTATTGTGTTGCATCATGTGTTTTGCCCATAAAATTGCTCTGTTTTGTGGTTTGTTTGTCTCCAGTTGTAGAAAAAACTTTGTAATTTCCCCTCAAATTCCTTCCTGCTGATTTGAAGTGCTAATTTAAACCAGATTTACAGTTATTGGGCAGCGGTAAAATTTTTGAATACTGCAAGACCAAATTGTGATCTGAATACACATAATCCAGTATGAATGGACAACATATTAGCAATATATCCTGCGCAGCATGTGCAGTGAGGCATTACTGTTGCATTATCATGTTCGATGACCAGGTTGCGCTCCCACCATTTCCCATTGCTTTTAATATCCCACATTTTTTTGTTCAGCTTTTCAACCTGATTTCGTTCATGACTCAGCACTGAGCACCAACACAGCCTCGACGTCTGTGGGGGGCAACATGGCTGCAAACATGCCCATGGGTGCCATGGGTGCTCCTAATGCCATGGGCATGGCCAACACCGCCATGGGTGTCATGAACCCCATGGCGTCGGGCTTGGGCGCCAATATGGGGCAAGGCATGAGCGCCATGGGCACCGGTATGGGCACAGGTATGGGCGGCATGGGCTCAGGACTCATGGGTATGGGCGCTCAGAACTCGAGCATGGATGCCATGGGCGCTAACAACATGATGGGCACCGCCAACAACATGATGGGTGGCAACATGATGCCCAGGTGATCATTAGTTTATTTTACTCTTACATGACACTGTATTGCTATACGTAGTCTATATTATTATTGTCTTTATCTTAAATGATTAAAAGACAAATGTAGAATATGCATACCGTGTGCAGGCTACGAAAGGAACTGGCCTCATCCGCTGATGAAATTCTGTAGTTTTTTAGCGCATTTTCTCATTTATGGAAAAAATGCACTATTGTGCTCGCCATGTCCGTCTGTCTGTCTGTCCGTGACCTCAAGTTTTCGTCGACGAGAAAATGCGCTCTGTCACTCACTGCTGAGTACTGAGTTATATTTTTTGTAGCTTGCTGTACACCGGCGTGCATGTAAATAAGTTGTGCTCAATATTTGCTGGCTGTGCAGTGGCGGGCTGGGGTCACAAGTGACGGGAATGAACCGCATGGGAGGCAGCGGCTACGGCGGGGGCAGCGGTGGGTTCAGCGCGGCGGGGGGTGACATGAACGGCGGTGGGGGACGCAACTTCGGCAGCTACGGCGGCGCGGGCGGCGTGGGCGCCTCTGCTGCTGGCAACGTCGTCCAGATATCCAACGTGAGTACGTCATCGTCCACATTATTTCTGTCTGCCGTGTGTGATGTGTGGCGTGCGATGCACTGGAGTACATCATCGTCCACATGTTCTATGAGTTGTGTGCGAGATACAGTGTGATTCATGGAAACTTTCTCATTTGAAAGCTCAATAAAAATATACAATATTTATATTATTGAAAAAGACGTTACCTGAATTTTTGATTCACTTAATTTTAGAGATGACATCAGACAAACGACAGCTCCGATTGTCAATGCATTCAGATAGTCGATTTTTGACTCGCTGAAGCATATTGATGGGTATATTGGCGATGGCTTCAGGGTATGTTGTTCTTCAAGTGAGGTAGGGTCTTCCGACAGTCATTATCAACAATTGATTTAAGATAACCCTGGAATAAAATCACATGGGGCCAAATCAGAGACCGGGCGGGCCAAAGGTCACCTCTCTAGGATATGAGGCGCACAGCATTATGTTGGCTCAAAAGATCCATTGAACGTCGCGATGTACGGGCCGTGGCTCCATCCTTTTGGAGATAGATATCTCTGGCATTCATTTCAGCCAGATTTGGCAAAAAAAGACGTCAATCATTTGCTTGTACCGAGCTGCAGTCACCGTTACTTCGCGTTCGCTTTCCTTAAAGAAATAGGGGCCAATTATGACGACTTTTGACACCGTACACCACACAGGTCACGCTTTCACAATGAAGTGGCCGTTGATGGGGTTCACGTGGATTTTTATCACTCCAATAACTTATGTTTTACTTGTTTACGCTGTCGCAATTGTGCAAGTGAGCCTCATCACTATAGAAAACGACTGCATCGGAAGGCAAGTTCTCAAGAAGCGTTTCACTTTCATTTCGGCGAGCAATAACATCGTTTTTGCCAATTTCTTCTGCCGCAAACAATTTATAGAGATGAAATTGCAGTTCTTTGTGGAGTATTCGTACCACACTGCTATTTGAGATCTCCAGAATAGCAGCGTGTTAAAGTGCTGAACGGTGTGGAGAATGCAGAAACGCCACTCTTAACTCTCTCCACGTTCTCGGGTGTTGTGGCAGTCCACTGACTTCCAGATCCTCTTGCATTCACACATCCACTTGCCGTTCATTACTTCGTTCTTCCACTTCTTCCATTCAATGCGAAACCGAGTACGGAATGCTCGTTGAATAGCGATAATGAAACGGCCATTGGAAAAGTACGCCTCGACAGCAAACGCACGCTGCTCACCTGTCCAATGCATAGTGGCAACTGACTTGACACGACACAAAACTTCATGACCTTGCCTTTCATATTAAATACTCCCCGCCATTTTTCCACAAAATCTGGCTGCTTGACGCGAATTACAGAGCAGGAAGTTTCCATGAATCACCCTGTAAATGCGTATGTGATGCACTGACGTGTGTGTGATTCGTTAGGGCCCAATCCTCAAATATCAAAACAAGGCCTTCATTGACTCCATATATTAAACTAATGATCATACGGGGAAATGAGTTATAAATACAAGTGAAAGACCAGTTAAGGTCTAACAAACTAACAAACCAGGATTTGCCGCAAAAATATAACTCAAATTAATATTACACTGTGAACGGCAGGAAACGTTTCCAATATAAATTTTATTTTCACTATGCTTTATAGGGTTTTAAATGCATCTGTCTCTCTGAATAACTTCTAGTTACGAGGTAGCAAGCATTGGGTTGTCGCTTGTCGCGTCATGTACATTGAGTTAGAACCCTTGAGCTACACGACGTGATGGGCGGTAGCGGCAGCAGCAGCAGTAGTTTGTTGATTGCCCGCTATCAGCTTGAACGGGCTAGTTCAGAGAGCTGTCTGTACCTGAGCAGTATGGTTGTAGCCCTGTCTGTCATTACCTATCGTAATTTTATGCTGATCATTGTTACCGTACGGTCTAGTTCAGAGAGCTGTCTGTACCTGAGCAGTACGGTTGTAGCCCTGTCTGTCATTACCTATCGTGATTTTATGCTGATCTTTGTTACCGTACGGTCTAGTTCAGAGAGCTGTCTGTACCTGAGCAGTACGGTTGTAGCCTTGTCTGCTAGTAGCTGTCGTAATTTTTTGTTCATCATTGTTACCGTGTGCAATACGAAGTGTCTTGTGCTTATCAATGTTTACTGTTGAATGCCATTTTAATTAAAAAAAAAACAGAATAAACTATTTTAAATGGTGCAAATTACGATTTAACGAACGTGAGTTCGTTAAACAGTCCTAATACTAACTCCTACTGCTGTTGAGGCATCCCAATATAAAGATGAAGTACGTAGCACGTCTTGAAGAGGTCACGTCTGAGGTTGTTAGAAACCATATGTGTGAAAAATTACATCGATCCTATTCCGATCTCTTTTAGGTCATTTTTGCTTCGTTCGTAATTCTAATGTACCTTTTTCTTGTTAGTTATTTTACTTTAATTTAATGGTTGGTTTAGTAACATGTTGAAATATGTTTTTGCATCTGCCTATGGAGACAACATAGCAGAACCTGCGGAATCCCGATGTCTTTTAGGTCGTTTTTGCTTCATTCGTAATTCTAATGTAACTTTTTCTTCTTTGTTTAACTTTTTTTCATTAAGTTATTTTACTGGAAAGTAATGTATATTTTAGTAATATGTTGAAATATTTTTTTGCAGCTGCCTATGGAGACAACATGGCAGAACCTACGGGATTTATGCAGGGAATACGGCGAGATCCGCTTCGCTGAGATCAGGACCAAGGGCACCGGCGCTGTCAAGTTCCACACCGAAGCTGACGCCAGGAGGGCGGCTGGTATCCTTTTTATGCTGTAGAGCGAGCATACCTCTGCCTAGTCTTTCAGAGACTCGTCTAAATATTTAATTAGTTAATATCATCTCACTTGCTATTTATTGCATTTGTATGATTTTCAGAATACATTTTCAATCCTGGAGCACTGGCTCACTTTAATTCATTTTGTACTATTTGGCATATAATTTGTTTATCTGTACGCACAATATGAATTCTATTTCTAATTTGATCTCGTTTGATTTGTCAGTAATTGACAGCTTTAATGTGTTCTTACGTAATACTGAAGCTTGTGTCGCAAAGAAGTAAATGAAATTCTGACTTTGATAACCACTTGATTTTGCCCAGCTTGCCAAATTCCTAATATTGATGATTTGTGTGATAACAAAACCCAAAGTTGGAGTTCCTTAACCCGCATCCCAGACATGTTGGACAGACAGCGGTTCAGCGGACGGATGTTGGAGGCCAGAGTCATCTAATAATTCCTACATGAAGATAAATAACTATCACTTTCATCTCGTTCTGGCTTGTTAATGCAGCTCAGCTGTTGGTTGGTCGCATGCTCTTAGCAATAAGCTAGCTGCTCCATGGGGAAGATCTTTCAACGCAACGAATAGGCTTCTTGTTCGTTGTTGCTCGTCGTCGTAACTTCCTATTATGGCCCATTGTTAGAGTTGCGTTACTCTAGTAGGAACCTGATCGCCTTGTGTTTTATTTATTTTCTAAGACGTAACTCGTGCCACTTTCTCGACAAAATTAATGCCATCTTGTGAATGACTTGACCCTCAAATCTTGGTTGCAAAACTCCCAACTTTGTTGCTCATTAAATTAATGTCATCCTTGATTTCAACAATCTTACTTCAATCTCTCAGGATCAAAGTCATTTCTGTTAAGTCATCAAAACTCCTAAGCTGAAAGTAATTACCTCGTACAAACCATCTTTGCTGCAGTTGACATTCAATGCATTTTCAGTTTCCGTATACTCAACCAACTCCTGAAATTAACTGTAAAAAATGGGGCGTGGATGCTAGGTACATCGTCATGGCTTATGCAGCGTGCTCGTGAATTCCACTTGAAACTTCTTGCTTCGTCTGGACTTATTTATGTTATTTTTAACAATTTTCGTCCTTGTACAACCCCAAGTTTGCTGTTGTGCATTAATTACAGTTTGACATGCTGTGGGACTTGATGCGTTTGTTGACTACTGGTAACAATGAGGTCTTCCTTCTCTGTCGCAATGCGTCACAGGTAACAGAGCTGTTCCCTCTTTGTCGCAATGCGTCACAGGTAACAGAGCTGTTCCCTCTCTGTCACAATGCGTCGCAGGTAACAGAACTGTTCCCTCTCTGTCGCAATGTGTCACAGGTAACAAAGCTGGTCCCTCTCTGTCGCTATGTGCCGCAGACAACAGAGCTGTTCCCTCTCTGTCGCAATGTGTCGCAGGTAACAGAGCTGTTCCCTCTCTGTCGCAATGTGTCACAGGTAACAGAGCTGTTTCCTCTGTCGCAATGCATCGGTCGGTCCTGGATGTATAATCTGGGACTGAGGGTCTCTTCGTAGTTTTGGACAGCAGAATTTCATACCAGGCGCGTTTTGTTCTCTTTGTCTTATCGACTTAAAGAGAAATTCGAGGTGTCTTTGGCGTCTTCGAATTCGTACCTGATAGACCAGAAAATGTTATTATTGACAGAATTAACTCGGTCATGATGTTTATGTACTATTTTTTACAAACCATTCCCTCTTCAGTTGACGTCTCAACATCAAATCGGAACTAGTTTAGATACGCTGTTTGCATTTGTATTCGTACTACAATTTTTCATGTCTGGTTTGCATTTGATAACAAGAACCTGAAACGCTAACTTGAATAATAGTTGTCAATTTAATCGTACGACCTGCGATTCATTGACGCCTCTCACTTCGATGCAAATTACATGGATTATTTTTCCTTGAAATTAGACCTTAATTTCGCAGAAATGGCAAATTTGGTTTCTAGTTTGTATTTAATCTAATGCTCATAATTTTGTCAGCTGGAATCATCAATTGTGACTCGATTCATGAAGTGTCGTGGATGTTGCAAATAGTGTGCGCATCTTGTGGGATCGTCTGCTTTGATTTGGTTTGAGCAAATAATAGCAAAACAGTACAACTTTCATGTCCATGCAATCGTGATTATTTACTTGATTTAGACTGCATTGTTGCGTTCCATGCTTGATAATATAGATTGGGATCAGTCAGTGGATGTTCAAATTGTCTTACTTGTGCATTACGTGACGAAAGCTTTGGGTTACTTGACGGTCTCTAAACTTGCTTATTTGTTACCCACTAATGCAAATTGTGTAGTGACTTCCACGCGTCTCCAGCGCTGCCGCAGTCAACACAGCGACCACCGCGCAAGGCTCGGGACGTTCCCAGCATCAGGTAACACGCCGTCTTGCTGCGGAAATTTTCTCTAGCGCCTTTATTAGTGTGTAGTTCTAATGATTCCTCTCTGCGTAAACATAAAATACGTGTTGAGTTCTTACAAAGTCACGAATTAACTTCCAGTTCATGCGTTTGTTGTGGACTGCCATGCTTGAAGGGAGAAAAGCTGAAGTGGACGCAGGAGCTGTGATACGGTGACGACCAATTAATGGCTCCTAATATTTTTTATTATATCATTTCTTATTGTGCCTCATTGGTTTGCTATGAACAGCCATGCTGAAGTTGCAAAATACTAAGTTAGCTTTTCGATCCTAAATTGTTACTTGCTATAATCGCCACAAATTATCAAGTTATGTCTGGTCCCTAGATTCAGAAGTTGATGTTTTAACGGCTGCGTTTTTCCATGAGCTGATGATGTCTTCCCGTAACGTCCACATTGTAATGTTTCAACGGTCCCAATTCTTTCCTTCCTCCAAACATGGCGCTCCTGTAATTGTTCAGGAGCTGTTTTTGTATTTTTAGGACAAGAAATTTAATGCGGCAAGTGCGTGTAATGACCAAATTTTTATCATGGGTCGAGTGTTCAATGATTCGGTATCATTATTCCAAGTTGTGACGTCTCCTCTTTAGTGGCAAGTTATCTTGGATTGGGACGGTTTTCGGTTAAATTGTCAGTGACTTGTTGGACTCTTTTATGAATTTATTATGATTTAAATAGATTTTGTAGCGAGTTCAAGTTACCTACAGTCCTTCTGATGAAAAATGTGTTATCTACCTGATATTCTTGTTGTAAGTTCTTGTGTTTTAATGATCCTGATATGATACTATTAAGCTACATCTGCGCTAATTAATGCACATCTTCTCGACGTTGCTGTTGTACATCAGATGGCTCTATTTAATATCGAATTTTTCTCGTTTGTAAGGGAAGTTCACTTTGCATCCTAAGACAAGATCGCCGCTCTTGTGTTGCATTCAAAGCGTGTTTTAGCCCACGTCTCCGCTACTAATCTATTGTAGTCTTTACTTTTAGAGTTCGCTCTAAGTTTCTGTGCTCTTGACAGTATAAAGATTATTTGATGTACGAATTGTTTTGTTCTTCATCCTTTTGTCGCCGTTTCAGATCTTTTATCCTGTACAATATAATGAGCAGATCTCTTCTTTTCGAACTCAGTGGATTGCTGCTGTCTTCGAAGTTCTGCTCGAGTGGAATGGATTCCTCTATTTTCAGTCCCAGTAGAATGGAGTGCTATCATTTTACGTGGTAGAATTCAATGGTAATTACTAGTGTATATGGGTGCAATGTTCTAATTCAGAAGTGTCAGTGATTCAGTGCTTTAGAACCCGGGATTCTATGTTCTAAGTTTCTTGTCAGTAGATATTCTTTTTCCTGTGTCAAGTATTCATTATACAATTGGTCTCCTAGCAAATCGTACTGACAAACGACGAGTTTTGTTTCGGCAGTTGGTATAGATATCTGTCCCAAATCATTTTTTCTGAAGTTGCCTTGTATCTTATGTAATATCAGCTTCAAAATGTTTATGGAAATGATGAAAAGTGCACCGGTTTAGTTGAAGCTCTCCAATTTCTTCCAGATATCAAACACCTGCAATGTCAGCAGTCTTATTTGAACGATGGTTTTTATATTGCCTTATTTGACCAGCTCAGCTCGTTTACTTCCCTCCGTATACGTGATGATGCCTCCAAGATCAGTTTGCCGTATTTCTCTTTCAGTCATAGTGCCCGCCTGTATGCGTGCCTTTGTTGATTATACAGAAAATTCCTAATCCGATATTGCACGGAAAAATTGTTAAATCTGGTAGTATGAAAGATGTTTTTAGGAGGGACGGTGCTAATTTGGTCTAAGGAAACTATTGAAGTGACTTGGAAAGCTCGTAGATTGTTCAAATATTGCAAACTTTGAAAATACTGTGTTAAATTTTACGTTGGCACATTTCTGACTGTCATTGTTGTATTGCCTAATGTTTGTTTCGTTTCCTGAAGATACCAGCACTTGCAGTCTCTGATATCTTTTACATGATTGACGACGATAATGTCTAATGCGAAATGGTTAAGCTTCGGAACTTTGAAATATTCTTATTCATTTGCGTTGTAACTGACCGAGAAGTGGAGTCTTGAGTTGCAACATCTTATCGTTACCACTTTGCTGGTGACCGTCTTCTGAACACTGCAGTGCCACATTGCCAGCTGTGTTGCTTCTCAATTATCCATGATACTGAAGTGGTATCATGGTGATGGTAGTGCTCATGTTTGTGCAAGTGGTCTGCTGCTTGGTGGTACATTCAACCGACATCGCTGGGGTGATGGTGTGGTGGTCGTGGTGGTGGTTCGCTGGCGGTAAGTCGTACCTTTTAGACGCCTTGTTTTGGCTCGTCTTTTGCAGCTCATTCGATGTGCCTGTGTTCTTGTCGTGGTGCGATCATTCGTAGTTTCCAATTTGTCAAGAACCTTCATTACGTTTTTGTATTATTTGTTCTTTTAGTCATGCGCTTCACGCCGAACATCCTCTAGATATCCGACTCTTCAATACGTTCCTATTCTAGCTATACTTTTCATCAAAGGAAGTCCATTGATTTTTTGTACAAAACTCTAAAGTCAAGTCGAGCATTTTTTTTGTGATAAATGTATCTTCATGTAAATTTCACGTATGAGCGATTGGAAAATGCTTCAGTATCATCACCATCACTGCTTTTCCTGGAGGCTCTACACTCGGAAATTTCGCGCCTATCGTAAATTTTACAATACTCCTAACTTTGCGCATAAATTATTGCTGAAATTTATAATTCAAGATCCGCGCTCCTAAGATTCTTAATGTGAGATCCGAGCGATGACTGCTTGATGAAGATCACATACTACAAAATCTTACACATTTTCGAATGTACAGCCTCGCACCTTGGTTTCGTTGGAGAGCTGTGTTATTTTTATATTACGACTGCTGTCTAACTAATACAGTTTTTTTGTTCCATTTATTATTATTGATTCGAATAGGAACAGCGATTACAGCGTTAATTACGCCGTAGGCCAGTTATTCATTCTTAACATCGCAGAATAGCCACAGCTTGTTGTGGTCTCGAACACGCAACTTACTGCTCCAATTTTGCTTTGCTTAATTGCCATGAATCTTAAAGGTCGGGAAGATTTGTTTTTGGCTAGGGCTGAACTAAAAGTCGCTCGGCATATCAGCTCAACACTGTTCCTTGCAAATTGTCCGATGTTGTTGGCAAAGCTTTTGATTTGATAAATTTCTTGAAGATTTTGACATTCAAATGGTTGAATAACCTGGACTATTTTTTTAAGGACAACTGTCTTGTTGATGGTACAATTGCCTATGTTGAGAAAAGCTACGGTCAAATGCCCTCGCAACGAAATTATGAACCTTATAGAGGTAGACATTTTAGCTCTTTACGACTTTATACGACTGAGACCTTGTTAATCACTAATGGTTCGATCTCTTGAGCAAAGCAATGCATTTTGATCATTTCTCAACTGACGATTGGCTCTCAGCGTAAAGTGGCCGAGCTGGCTTGATTTTTATTAGAGGAGGTACAACCGTTTGCTTTCATTCGAGGAGTAACGTGCAATGATTAACAATTTAAGTGCTTAAACGGTGGCTTTTTCGCAGTGGGTTTTTTCTTGTTTTGATTAGATTAACGCTCGAATATATCTAATGGCTGATGAATGCTGATAAAACCAGCGAAATCTTGGGGCGTGAGAAATTATTTCCTGGGGCTGCACCTTGTTTTGTGCTGCGAGATTCCTTCTAGTCGAGTCGGCGAGTGCACGAGTAGCCGTTGACGGCACTCATGTTTTGTATATTCTCACCTTGAGTGTTCAAATCGTGGTAATTTCTATAATGATGATTGTTGGCTTTAGTTGTCTATGATATAATTTACTTGAATTTTTGGCAATCTCTGAGCGTTTAGATTTCTGAAGAAGTTATCTTGACGAATTTTCTTGTTTCTTCATGAATATTTTAAACTCAATTGAAATATTGAATTATCTTTTTTCCCACAGGTAAGTGAGCTCCAACACGAGCGGAAATCTCCGCCTTCTTCAGCAGCGTACTCGTCATCTTGTTATCAAGCTATCTTCTGTGCAATACAAGCTCCTCGCAACTTTATGCTTTATGCTTGCTTCAGCCCCAACTAAAAGAATATAATGGTAACGTTGTAATTAATCTTGCAACTCACTGAACGGGAATGTTAAATTCCCAAAAATATTGACTAAGAGATTAAATAAATTGAAGAGTAGCTAAGAATTCTCAGCAAGATAGCTTGAATATCAAGATCCATTCAGTTGGCGATTATATGCTAGACTGTGCTAACAAGGCAGATTCTCGGATTATACAGCGATATTCGTGTGGACCAGTACCACTGAAACTGCAATATTTAGATTTTCTATTAGGTGGAATTCAATTAATTTATGATATCGTTAATATTTCTGTGAATCTGGCTTGTGGTCAATTTTTTCTCTGTGAACATTCATTACGGAATGGGCACTGAGTGGGCTCAATATTCGCTACACGCGGAATAGCTTACTGTTATCTTTAGGTTTCAGAAAATGCTAGATTTTCTTAATAATACCAAATTATTGAAAAGATATACGAATTATAGTTTTGATTTTTTTTCCATTATTAATATTTCATTAGTAGCTGCCATGTGCTTAGGAATTGAATTTGACCAGTTCATGCGTCAGCCTTGCGTATTCACTGTGATGCCTTGTGTACAAGCGCTGCTGCTCGCAGCACATTATTTTACAAGTAAAATATACAATTTATCTCTGAAGTTCGCTTTTCCTTCGCCAAGATCATCCTTCGCGATTTCTCGTCTGATAGCCTTTAATGTGACAATTTTTCTTGAATTAAGTGGTTTAGTTGCTAGAATAAAATCTATCTCTTGAGTTTGAAGTTAGTTGCAGTTCGCAACTAATACATCGTCTGTGAATGTTGCCTAAATTGCGATGGGTCCCGATGTCTGTACGATAACCAGACTCGATAGATTGTTCGTGTAATGATAGTACAATTCGGCTACCAGATACCAACTTTTAGTATGCAGGTCACTGAATTGTTATCTAACTAGAGATGACCTAGAGGTGGCGTGAAGTAGCCTTATCGCCGTGTCAAGTGTGTTATGGGTTGATCTTGCCACGTTCTGAAACCAAGCTAGAGCCTGTGGGCCGCGTATTCTATCCGCGATGATCTTGGTTAATGTATTGCTTCATAAATAGGAGTTATAATTTATGAGGATGATTGGCTAATGGAAAACTTGACGTGACGTGACTGAGGGGCACATAAGTTGGAGTCCTTGGGTTGCTTGTTGGCTGCGATGCCATTTTCGGTGCTTCACTGAAAAACGAAGCAGAGACGAGATACCGACCTGAGGCTTTCATGAAACTCTAGCAGTGGATAACTGGGCTGAACACGTTACGAATTGGGCAGACTAGAGAAAGATGTCGTGGAGAATATGATTTTTTATCGTGTGCCGAGAGCTAGCAAGGTTACGTGCAACTCCTGCATGTCATAGCAACCCGTGACCGTCACCTCAGCACGCGACTGTCGACACTGGTACTTTGATGTGGAGAAAACTACTTATAATTTAACTTATACTAATTATTTACCATTGAAAATATTTGTAGAGTTTACATCCATGAATCTATGAACCTCCTAAATAAAATGGACTATTACGACGTCTCAGCAAAAGAAAGGATTGCTATCACCTCTCCAACAAAGTGGACTGACTTTTGACTGTCGAGTCATGTGATGATGACGAATGGACTGAGGTTTTATGACTTCAGGCTACTACGTAGTACTACCAGCCTGAAGTTGAGAAAGGGATGGGTTGGGAAATTGCGAGTCGTTCCAGCCATAAGCTAAACTTAAAATTAAACTACCATTTACTGTTAGAAGTAATGACATAAGAATAATAATGATTCCCTGTCAAATACCCATTCACACATTACATTGGCCATTAATAGCTCGTTGTTATTGTAATCGCAACTTTAATTCAAATAAAATCTGCGGATCTCTCGTGAGTAGACGTGTTCGCGAACATATTGTTTAAATGATGCTCAAAGAATCAATGAACCTGGGCGGTAGATGCACATCTACTTCATTATTAAAGCGTCATTATTATTAGCCCTAATTGGGCTAATATTAGCCTAACTTATATTATCTCCATGAATCTAAAGCTAATAAGAATCTTGACTTCAACTGTGTTAAAAACATTCTACAAAATTAAGTATCCTGCGTTGTCCGTTACTGAAGTAGGTAATTTAAAATGTTATTGGAATCCGCGTCGCTTCTGGTGTTTCTGGTTTCTAGGCGGTATCTCGTAAGGTCGGAGGAAACGTCTATGGTTCGGAATCATTGAGCTTTGTCACGGTGGTTAAAGTGGTTACAGTTCAGCTGGCAGAGTACCAAGATTGGAGCAGAGGTGCGGTTTGATCCCAGCTCTGTGCGCCAGTTTACGGTCAGAATCGGCGAGAAGGCCGGGCGGGCACAACAGAATTCGAGCAGCGAGTTAAGAGTTCAAGACCGCAAAATGAAGTGAATGTTTTGTGATATTAAGAATCGGCGGCAGGCCAACGGCCTAATAAACGCTGAAACCGCTAGCCGCTATATATTGATGTTTCAATCCTCGCAATTGACATTTCTTCACTGCCTTTCCAAGCCTTGGCCCATTGACCCCAGAGCAGAAACAGTAACGAAGCCACCAATGAGAGCGGGTGCGTAGTGAGCATTTATGGCTACTCCTCGGCCTGATATCTGGAGAAGGCACTCAGGTTTTGATCTTTATCTTGAGCTGACGTTTGTATGCCACTCGGTGCTTGCCCTGCTCCTCAGTCCTATACTCAGTCCTACAGAACGCTAGTGCTGGTCAAAGTTCACCTTCATAGGACTTCCTATGATGATCCTAACGTATTCTTTGAAAGTAACTTCAGTGTACATTTTCAAGATTTATTTGGAATTTATGATAAAGAAAGTGAAGCGATCGATTAAGTTATTAAATATCGGATACGTTTTCGGACATGCGTTTCTTGATTTATGTCTCAGTCACTGTGAGAGAACGGAAAAATTGCTTCGGCGATAGAGAGTTCTACAAATATCACTAAACAACAAATTTCATGTGTGAAAATTAGTGCTGTTTGTTCTTAGGTACCATAATGGCGATTGGATGATGGAACTCAATAATTTCGAGTTGATAATCCTGGTTGAACTTTTTGATAAAATTAAACCTAAATTTCATCGTCAGTTTCTATTGATAAGTTGAGCAAGTAGGGTCAGAAGGGAAAATGAATCTATTGTGTGCCGTACTAAAACTGACGGTTCTACCTTCAAATGGTAAAGAAGTATCATTTCAAGTACAACTAAGTTTCATGTTATTTCGTGCTGCATGTTCGGTGAATCTTGTATCAAAAATGTGTAATTAAAATATTTCTTCTCAAAATACTAGTATTTCTGATTATTATGATTGTCTGAATTTGACCGCGTTCAAATTACAATTATAATTATTACGATTATTCGAAAGGCTTACTGAACGCTGTCATGTCACAAGTAATTTTGAGCGCGTCAGGGTAACGTGAATGGAAGCAAGATTTAATACTTATCCTCGCATTTATTTGTCCGCTGAGCAAATCAAAACCTTTCAGTTAGCGTCACGACTCGTGCAGTAGAGATCATAGTTATGTTACCGGTCTCATGCAGCAGATATCAATATAATATATGACGATGTTTTACTGATCTCATGCATGTAGCACAGATTAACATAATGAGGTCGAGAAGTATCCAGTCATCGTCGTGAAATAATGACCTTCTATCAACCACTCCCCAGATTGTCCTTAAAAATTTTGATCTCTGGAGTTGCCGATGATGATCTCTGAACGGTAATTAATAGTTGTTCGTTACTGGCTCCTCAAATGCTCTACTACGAACGTATTTCGGGCTTTCGTAGGTGTGGGCAAAATTGGCTAGAAAAAAAAAACAATCGATGTTTCAATGGAAGATTGAAGATGTGTGGATAAGTTATCACAATTTGACCTTAGGTTAAAATTATTCAATTTTACCTTGAGATATTTTGTTCCGTCCATTAAACAATTTGTGACTTCAAAAACTAGTCCTCTAATATTGAGTATAAATTTAGCTCAACAAGATGAAACAAACTGACGCTTAGAAACTTGCATAATAGTAGCTGGAAAATATCGAATAAGGTTATTGTTCCATTTATATGAAACTTTTCGAAATGCGCTTCGAAGTTTCCGATAATTGAGTACAGTGACTTGGTACACGCTCGAAAATGCTAACTTTGACTCGCCTCAAAATTTTGTGGAGCTGCGGAGTTCGAGGAACTCGCACATTTTTCTCGTCAACATTCATCAAGTTACAGCAAACAAGATGTTACTATTATAGCTTCAAGTTCATATCTACAGTTTTGGCGATGATGTCCGTCATCGCCTCGTCCGTTATCCTCCTGCCGCCAGCCTTGATTCTATTCTCAGGTTCGAAATAATTCCACTTTTAATTTTAATTGATGTTCATTAACTTGTTTCTGGGTGCACTTTTAATTTTAATTGACGTTCATAAACTTGTTTCTAGGCGGCGTTCCATGGACCTCAACCGCACCCAAAATGCTCCTCTCTTATCGCGATGAAAAACTCTCTTATCGCGATGAAAAGTGTGCGCTTAACTGCAGGATGTTACTCTGAAATAGGGGTAACGCTACATACAAGGACTTCACTGACAGAGTTAAATTTATGCGGAAAAGTTGTCAGTTTCGTTACACTTCTGAAGATGTTGCCACTTTCCCGATTCTCCACCGCAATAAAACTATAATATTCTCTTCTTATCTCCTCTGCAAATAATCAAAGTGAAGGTAGCATTTTCACAGACGTTTGTTTATCTTCCTATTAAATCGGTATCTGCGAGGAACATTGATAAAATATTTGTTCTGTCTAGGATAGTGGGCGGAGAAGGGTTAAAGTGTTTAATGAAATTTGGCATGTTTAAATTTGACGAATTTGACTTCCGTTCAATTTTTATGCACCTAATGCTAATGGTGCTGTGGTATATTTTACTAACACCAGACTTCAGAAATGACAATTATTTTCCATGGCTCTGTTGTGGTGCCGTGACTGTTACATTCATCGCTGAGTAGTTTAGCGCTCGATTACTGTCAAACGCTCATAACTTTTATTAGTTAATAATCTCACATTGGCAATACTAAGCAGTAATTTTTAATTAATATATGAAATGAGGCAAACATCTGGCTTTGGAATGTTCTAATTTGTTTGTATCTGCGACATTTAAAAATGTCTTGTCATTGCGTTGGTGAATGGACTGGACAGTATCGCTTCTGGTCACTGAACAATGTTTGACATAACCCTATTTCGTGTTGTTTTGAACCGTATTTTTCAGTTTTATCCGTCTTGTTTTGAGCCGTATTTACGTCATTCTTCTAATATCTATTTTTCCCCGTGCTGGCAGTGCTGTGGCTGAGGAGGTGGTTGGCTCGATGGTTCGTATCCCTAACGACGAAGGACGCGACGTTCCCTTCAACTCCCTCCCTGTGGGGGGCGCCACAGGGCTGCTGTACGAGCATCGTGATGCTCACAGGGCACCTCCATGCTAGGGACCTTATGCAACTTTTTCAGGTAATTACCTAATAAATTTAATTCTCACGTGAATTAGGGATTGAAAGTAAGATTTTTGTTCCAGATTTACATGAAAAATGCTTGGCCTAATTCATTTACTTCAAACAGTCGTTCATACAATTATGTTCTGAAAAAAATTTAGCGCAATGATACTCCCAATTTTCCTTTCATTCTGTAAGTAGATTTCTCACGCCTGTCTTTCTAGGTTCTAGGTAAAATAATTGTTTAAGAAAATTTCATGTGTACATTTTATTGACAATTTGAAATTGTACTTATTGAATGAATTCGAATTACTTTGCAGGAAGACTGGACAGGTTTGTGGTATCAGACATCAATAATTGAATCATTTTATGAAGGCCATCGACTGCCATCGACTAAGTTTTAACTATCCATCTTAAATAACGCTGCTCGTGAATTTTGACATGCTTTATATTATCGAACATTCCACGAGGAAACTTAGTGCTTCGTCTGATGAACCTAACTTGTCACTCCGTACTCATTTCAACGGTAGGTGTAGAATTCTCGCCCATGTGTCTTCATCAAAGCGAGTAATTTCATGTAAATTGTTAATATGCTTGCAGAATACAGACTGCAATGGGAGAGGCATTAACATTTTCCTAAAGCATCCTAACCTGAAGAAACGAATAGCAATGATGCACGGGGTTGGCGTCTGGCTGAAGTGTTCAAGTTTCGATGTTGCTGATCACATCCAACAGGCGCCTTCACACTACCACCACAGTCTTGTCACGTCGAGAAATATTCAAGTGAGCCCAACGTATTTTCATTGGAGATTCAAAACATCACAAGTTTATTCTACTATCCATTAATTGCTCAGGCCAATTATTCCATTCAGCGATTGCATCATTAATGAGACTTCCTTCTCCAATTGGCTTGAATTAGGAATTTTAAAAATCGTTCTGCTACAGCTTAGAGCAGTTTTTCTAGAAAAATTAAAGAGAAATTATCTCGAAGAAATAATCAAGCAGCGAGAAATAATTAAGCGTAAAAGCAGCAAGAAATAATTAGCCTTTTCCCGTGAAATTGATTTGCGAAATAAATAACCTAATTAATCTTATGTTGAAACAAAATTCTGATGACTTTTTCCCTTTAGAAAGGTTTCGCTGAACTGAAGGAAGAGCTATAAGTAAATTTAACTATATTTCGCAAGCATTTATCATCCATCATAACTGTAAACGATGTTGGTATTCCAGGAGTACGTAAGCACTTTGCTCCATCAAAGTAGCATGAGCCCGAACCTTCCCCCCTGGCAAGTGTTCGTCATCAACGGCACCGAGCCAGACTGCAGCAAAGTTACCTGGCTGTTGATACGAGCTCATCACCTCCTAACCGACGAAATGCTCCTCGACAACACAAAAATAAAGACACATTTTGAGCCTTGGGGATCAGAAGGAACCTTTCCCCTTCTAACGGCACCTTCTGCAAGCAAGCGCTTCTTTGGCCTCATCCTGAAGAACGTCGTTCCTGTTTGTTTGAGATTATCAAAATACATTCAGCATGCTTTAGGAAGAGTAAAGGATGGCTTGTCATGGCTGATTTGCTACGTCCAAACGAAGTATCACGTGCGGGAACCGAGACCTTGCCAAATTGTGTCAGCCAATGGCATCAATATTAACACAGATCCACTATCTTCATACAAATCAAGCTCACTAAGGTCATTGTCAAATTTCTCGAAAATTACACTTCTGTCTATGCACATTGTGAACATAACTTGTACTAATACTCTTTATTACATTTTCAATGTAATTACACACGTATGCCGCATCATAGTGTCAGCAGTTGTCTGGTGTAAGCGCATCCAAACTAACAGGACTACCGAAGAACAAATGCTCCTAGAGGCGCTTGTGGAGATATACTGGATTATTAGAGCAATTATCAGTTTGCCGCGACTTCTGATGGAGGAATTAATTGACACTTGGAGAGCTGAGCCTCTGCAGGTTTGGAAAGGCAGCCGCCGGCCACATAATCTGCGCGTCACGTGGGGAGACGGAATAACATCGAAGTTGGTGGATGACATCAGGTCGGCTACAGGGGCTTCTTCGAGCTCAGTTCTGTTAACCGCAGCGTCAATGGCAGTTACAGATGTTCTGAAAGCTGCTGGCGTTCCTAGACCAAATGTTCTCAGGTGCACTGTTCCTGTTTCAGCCGGCTCTTATTCCGACGAAACTCCAAATCACTCTACCGAATTTTCTGAAACTTCATGTAATAAGTATTATGAAGCTTCTAATATATCTGCGAACTTGAATGTAAAGTCAGTCACCTCGTGCAGTGCTACATTGAACCCGTCAACATCGTCGGTCAACTGTTTTCCTGAATCAACTAACTCTGTAAACTCAACTGCAACTTCTGCAAACTTTCGCAAAGGGTCATTTGAAAACCACAGAACTGCGACCACTCTTTTACCCCTCGACTTTCCGACCGGAGTTTCCAACTCCATTGAGTGCCTGAAGAGTGTGAGGCATTCATTTCGCAACTTGAGACGATATCCTGAACGGTATCTGGTGTCCACTTGGCTGCTCAGGTACGGCTACACAGTCTTGCCAAAAAACTTATTGATGCAGATCGTGCGCGTGTTAACAGGCCGTTATCCGCTTCTTTGCACCTACATCACTGCACCCGATGAGCCAATCTCATTTCTGGGGTCTTTGGTTACCGGCATGTTCCACTTGAGGCATCCTGTACACCAGGCAGGTGAGTGATAGGTACTTCATTCCTTGAATTGTTAATTTCTGCAATTTGGTGGTAATTGTTTGCGGTGCGTAGCGCTGTACGTAATAATGTCATGATGTGTATGGTATGATGATCTGTTTGGTCGTCCTGATAGAAGCACGCTCTTGACTTATAACACGATGAAGGTGCCAATTCATAAAAGACAACGCACCTTATTGGTAATATCACGCAATTAAATATTCTTTCATGTAATATGGATCTTTATCCAGTCGTAATTCTCTTCGCTCGATTCAGAGCATTGACCACACACACAGTATTGTCTTACTTTCACGGGAGTACCACAGTGCCCTGCATGCAATGTATTCTTACATTGCGTAGATTCTAGTATAATTCTGAGCTGTAACTGCGTTGCCTTACCGATTCCTTTGTAGCCATCCATAAGTAAAACTTCAATATTATGTTTCTGCCGTTCAAGCCACATTTACTGGAGTAAATGTATCGCATCGGAATGCAATTTTTGACAAGTAAGCGTGTAATTGTGGTAATACAAGTAATTAACTGGTGTACATGTGTGACTGGTCAGTGCTGTCACTGTGCGTGACGCGTTACTGCGGTGCCGTGACGGTCGGCGCTCAGACGTCGGACTGGACGTGTCCATATGCCGACGTCCTGCCGAGGAGCTTCGAGTCCTGCATCAGCGAGCTCGCCGTCAGCTCGGGCGTCAGGATGTTAGTAAGCAACCTGCAGCAATTCTACGTAACTAATATCCGTATCAATTTATTATATTCATCTTGGACAACAGATGAACTGTTATCCCGTCACCGAAGTATCAACACTTGTAAATGTAAATTGATCAGTCACTCATGTGTCTTATTACCTGTGATGATATGATATGCACTATAGCATCATATTTTGGCGTGAAAACACTAATTTCAGTAAATCTGACCTTAACATTTCAACAGTTAATCGAATATTGAATTGAATGACGAGAATTTTAACATGACATTCTTTTGATCACATCGTCGTTTACGTTATATTTCTCAAACCACGTACAATGTACATTTTATTTTTAAATGACGTTCATTGAAAATTTTTAATTATGTTTTTTTTTGCAGCCAGCCGAAGAGGCAGCTGTTCTCGACCCTGCCATTCTTCGGCGGGTCCCCTGCCATGTTGAGGAGCCTCAACAGGGGCTGCCTGACTCCCTCTTCCCCAAAATCCCCAACTCACAGAATCCCAAGCTTTCCTAAACCCCAATCAGTTTTTTGGGAGCAAGCTGTTTGTAATATGAGCCCCATAAACGAAGAGTATCTGATACAAAATATAAGTCATGAAGGCCGTTCTCTTTATTTAAGCTCAGAAGCATCTTTTGGAAGCGAGTCTGTCAATGAAGATTTTAATAGAGTGACTATTCGGTCGTGCAATACGAAGACTACAAATGTTAACAAGAGAAAGATGTTCAATAATCTAAAACGGCAACTTGACTACAGCAACCGTATTGCAGAAATACAAACGAATGTGAGAAAACATAGTTTAATTTCAGAAGTTTTTCACATGGAGAACTCTGCGCACAATATTTGTAAAAATGATACAGAAAATAGCGACGTACGCAGGAATGATACGGAACTGCTCGTCTTTGATGCGTCTTTAGCTCGTAGGAGCATCGAAACGAAAATTTTGGACAGCGTAACTTCGGGATCGAAAGTTTTGGAGTTTTTGCATTTAAATGAGAATATCACGTACAGAAACTCGACTATGCCTTCCATATAGAAATTATAAAATTATTATATATCTAAAATTCTTTGAAGACGAGTGAGTCGCTAGAAATTTTAAATATCGTGATAAAAATAAATGCTGTTAGCTCACATACAATTGATTTTAAGAAAAAAATGCTTTATTAGATTATATCATGCATAATTTCTCCTTTAACAGGTAATTTCTGGGGGCATTTACTTTGCTTTATTCTTTTGGTTTGCAATGTTCGCTTCGTAACTCTGGCAGGTCTGACGAAGGTCATTTTTGATGCTGAGTTTGACACGATTTGAAGAGAGATTATCTTAATGAATTAGCTTTTGAATTACTACAAAAATTTGGTATCATGAGTTCAGGTTGGCCAGAATAATTTGAATTTTATTCATGTAATCCCCTAGTTTCCGAATAAATTGTACGACAAAACGTAGAGTAAGGAAATTAATGTCAGTCCGTAATTAATCAATAACGGCGAAAATGGAAATAGTGTGTTTTAGAATAATGGTTCTTTTTCTATGGAAATTTTTTCAACAAATTACACCACCTAATCAAGACACAAAAAAATTCTACTTAAATTAGTGACGGAACTGAGTAATATAGTCATTAATTATGCTGCTGTTCCTACATTAACTGGATGGCAATACCGGCGACAATGAGGTAATGTGGAACTGGCAATGGAAGCAAACTTCCCACATAGCGTTGAGAGTAATTGATAATTTCTTGAAAAAATCTGCGTCATTAATGGGCAGGATGATGATAGGATTTAGTAAGATAGAGTAAGATAGACTAAAATGGAGTATAGAGTAAGATAGAGTGCGTGTCTTGGTAGCAGGGCGCTACAACGACTCAATGGGGCACGGATGAATGACCCGCAATTGCTCGATAATTATTTTTGAAGCATATGGAACTTGTGATTCGTGCCAGCATTTTCAATATAAAGTTTACTTTCCGCGGGAAATTGTCTCGCCACGTTTTACTTCACTGTAGTTGCATTGAGAAATTTCGGTCTTGAAGGGTCTATTTTTTGTGATATTCAACAGTGCAGATCCCTGAGAGTTGCTGGCTACATGGATACCTACACTGGTTATGTCCCTTACCATCACTAATACAGCCTGGCCAGGTTATATTAGTTGCTGCAAGTTATTTATTAACACACTCATGTTGCATGTTCACCGCTGGCTGACAGCTTTAAGTAGGAGCAAGTAACAAACGATGATGCTGCAAGTTATTTATTAACACTTATGTTGCATGTTCACCGCTGGATGACAGCTTTAAGTAGGAGCAAGTAACACGCATGGATGCTGCAAGTTATTAATTAACACTCATGTTGCATGTTCACCGCTGGCTGGCTGTAAGTACGAGCAAGTAACAAACGATGATGCGGCAAGTTATTTATTAGCACATTAATGTTATATGTTCACTGCTGGCCGGCAGCTTTCTGTCGCCCTTGCTTGTACTCGACGTAATTCAGGTAGCCATCGTTGTTTCTGTCGCCGTCGTAGAGTACGTCGTCGATCAGCTCTGAAATTTTCAAATTATCAGTTAATTCAGAATCGATTTTGTGACCATATTATATATAATTAATTATTTTGCATAGATTGTATATGAATTATTTTATAATTTAAATTTGTAATATAACATTTAAGATGATTGGAATTAATTTATTTTTCATAATTATAACAATTTGATCAGCAATTTTATGTTTTTATATCTAGTTGGTGCGGCTTGATATGTTCTTTCAAGAGACGACGGGGGGAACTCTACGAAATTATTGTCAAGATTTTAACGAATGCTAAATTTAAGATTTTCATGAGTTTACGTGTATAATATTTGTATATTGGATGCAAATTATCGATATTATTTTTAGATTTTAAATCACTCGCACAAAATTATTTGGAGCACGTTTATAACATTATACATGGTCCGGCAAGGAAGTATGGATGATTTGGTCGCATGCGTTGCCAGCAAGCAATGTCAGGTTGAATCATCGTTGAAAATACAAAACCCACGACGTTGAAATAACGTTGAAAATAAATTTCGAATACAAATTGAAGCAACGTCATTTTTCCGATGTCGCAGATTTCGACGTTGTTTCAACGTTGAAATCGCGTAAAATTCTGACTTTAAAATTGCATATATATTCGCGATCCTACCGTCAGATGTCAACGCCATTTTAACGTTGAAACAACGTCGAAATGTACGACGTTGAAAAAATGACGTTGCTTCAATTTTCATTCTAAACTTAAATTCAACGTTATTTCAACGTCGTGAGTTTTGTTTTCCCAACTTTTATTCAACCTGACATGTCCTGCTGGGTTGCTGGTTAGGAGTGAAGGTATAAAGTCGAGAGCTGCCACTTCAGCAGCTATGGCGACATAAATAGTCGACTAAATATCACGTTTTTTGTGTTGAATACATTAATTAATTCATTGAAACGGGCAGTTCTACCGTTACAACGCAGAGACATTTATATCGACTCCGCTCAAAATATTCAATACTCTACTGCCGAGCACCGTGCCGATCAAAAAGGTATAAGTCACCTTGGTTAGTTACAGAATGTGTGATTTTTAAGCTGCAGCATATCGCGAGATAGATTTATAATTGATGTGGCATTATATACGTCATGAAGTACATATAGTAACTCATGTATACTTTACGATTGATCAACCAAGGCCAACTAATACACGATCAGTACACTAATATAGAGCACTTGAGTGACTAGACTATAATTAACGTTTATAAACTATACTCATAACTGCTATTTTGTGAATAATGTATAGCTGATACATTATTAAAGGGTGCGTAAATATTTTTTAGAAAATATATATTGTAACTGAAGTAAATTAGTTAAAAACTGACAATGGACGTTCATTTTATGAATCAAGTTTATATCGGCCGAGCTGAGTCAAAAAGGTTCTGAAGAAAATTAATCTGTCACGTCGTGGTTACGAGCAAAGTAATTATCAGGACATTGGATGACCATCAACTGCTATGATCTCTGACGATATCGTCTCTCGCTGAGTATAAATATAAATTCAGAGACATGAAATAGTACCCAGTACCCTCACCGAGATTTATGTGCCCTCACCGAGTATTTATATAAGAGTCATTAGAGCCCGCCATGAGCCCTTGCCGAGTATATAAGAGACATTAGTAAGTGCCCTCGCCGAGTATTTATATAAGTCATTAGTTAGTACCCTTACCGAGTATTTATATAAGTCATTAGTTAGTACCCTCACCGAGTAAGAGGTATTAGTTAGTACCCTTGCCGAGTATTTTTATATGAGAAATTAGTTAGTTATTATTAAACTAGTTATTATTTTAGTTATATGAGAAACATTAGTTAGAACCCTCGCCGAATATTAATACGAGATATATTAGCTATTACCCTCGACAAGTTTGAGTTGCTGGGCGTCAAGTCTGTCGTCGTCGTCATGGTCGCCGTGCTGGATGACGTGTGCGAGGGCGGCCATCAGCTCGAGGCCATCCAGACGATAGTTCTTGTCGAAGTCGTGCGCCCTGACAATCCCATGTCAAATTATGTTATCCATTTAAAAATCTTGGCAAAATTCGTCATTCAAATTTTCAAATAAGACTCAACCAAAAAGTAAAATGCACGCTTATTAGTTTAGAATCTGATCCAAATTTAATAGTAAACTGTAATAACCATCAGCTCGATAATTGGATCAATTATCGTATCGCAAATGTATTTAACACTTAATAAAATAAGCTATAAGTGACAGGTTGAAATTTTCAAATGTTTGGTAGCATAATGTCAGCATTTAGAGTAATCAGCATAATAATATTATTACTTGAAATATTGGAACTCGAGCTCCTTGTCGTCCATCTTGTTGATCTGCTCGTCTGTGAGCGAGCCGGCGAGATCTTCACGAATGTGACTGTGAAGAACATCTCGATCAAATATTTTACTTAAGTGTATTTAGTAATTAATCAGCTTTAATTAATTTAATTATAAAGCTTACATAGATTATGATATTTCAGCAATTAGCTATCAGTACATAATAGGCTCTGAAATTTGATATATTTGCTTGCAATTTCAAGTAATTATTGTATCGTATTTTATTAATTTAAAATAGTGTAGTAATAGTGTAGTAAATTTAGCTTCTCAAAAACTTCTATTTTTCAACTACTGTAATTACGGTATAATTTATTTTATTGCTACTTATTTTTTAGACGTATAAATACGATTCTAAAAATACGACTAACTCTCTATCCTGCAGAAGTTTGTCATCCTTCAGCACGCCGCCTCCTTCAGCCTGTACAAACAAGATGGTCACAATGACGAATTGTCTAAGGCATTGCATAAAAAAGATTCTGCCAGTTTTTAGTCGATCCGAATGGTTTTTTTGTTACATAAATTGTATATGACATAAAATCACGCGAAAATGAATGCAATACAATTTTTTATTTATTTATATTATATTTAGTTGTTTATCTACTTTACAACGAAGAATTTTTGGACAACTTTGGATTGTTCACCAGAGCAGGATCAGTGGAACAGCCTTTCTAATAGCATCGTTGACGTTCCGAGTATGAACGCCTTCAAGCGAAGAGACTAGAGTCGCTAGACGAAGCTATGCAGGAGCATATGTTCAGTCTTAAAATGCCTAGCACCTTACGGACCATGCAATAAGTCCAGCAGCTATCTCAATCAATCGTCAGTTACGGAAAGATCGGGTTCCAAAGGCCGGATCCCTTGTGAATCAACTCACGAAAAACTCAAGAATCAGCAACAGGCCCATTTTTTCAAAAAAAGTTAAGAGACCGTAAGTTCATCGGCCAATCATTGACGGCCTTTCAAGCAAAATCCACCAATCATAGACAAGAAATAGAGCGTAAGTACTTACGTTCACTTAGCGAGTTCTGAAAGTATGGCCCCAGGCCCATTTCTTCAGTGCCTACACTTCCATTCTCTATTCTATCCTATTGAGTCCTCACCCTCGTCTTGGGCACGTGGTGTCGGTCAGCGTGAGGGTGGCGTTCCCGGTGGATGTGGAAGCCGCTCGAGCCGCCGCCTGCGTCGCTAAGTCCTGTCAAGACTACAAGAACCAGCAGCAAACTAGCCACCCTAGCCCTCATCATGCGCTTGCTGGGATAAATTTGTTATAAAAATTATTTATACTTATTCATACGTATTGTGTATTCATACTTATTCATACATCGTAGTGGGTTAAAAGTGAAGGTTCTAAGCGGCAGCTTATTAGCTGAGCTAACCAATCATTCCCTTAACATCATCAACACAACAGTGCAGCAGCAGCACCAACACAACAGTGCAGCAGCAGCACCAACACAACAGTGCAGCAGCAGCACCAACACAACAATGCAGCAGCAGCACCAACACAACAGTGCAGCAGCAGCACCAACACAACAGTGCAGCAGCAGCACCAACACAACAGTGCAGCAGAAGCACCAACACAACAGTGCAGCAGCAGCACAAACACAACAGTGAAGCAGCAGCACAATCACAAGAGTGCAGCAGCGGTTTACACACACAGCTCTAAGTTTTTGTTTCTGACTTTATATAATCTTGATGATATATCTTGAAATTAAACAAAATATAATTTTGTATCCCAAAAGGTACTGCTACCGTTGTTCGGCGGTCTCTAATGTAATAGTTACCGTCTGAACAGAAACCCTACCGATTTCGACTGGACACATAGTGAAATCTTTGCTATCCAAAGTAGCTCACAGTGTGCTCAATGAGACTGATTGCACCCAACTTAAGACGGTCAACAAAAATGAGCCCACGTTCACCAGAACCAGACTGAGTTTGATTTATCTTTCACAAATGGACTAGATATTTTTTCAAATAGAGAGGCGATTGTCCTCCATAAAGTTGCTCTTGGTAAATAAAATCTAATACAAAACCGGGTGCTTATAACACAGCGCTATCAAGAGCATTATCGCTAACATGTGTCCCGGTTCCCTAAGTGATACCAAGATAGCGAATCCTTCGAATGTATAGCGTTTGATAGTATTTTCGGTCATCGTGGATACGTTTGGTCTTTAAACACAAGGCAAAAATTTTATTCGATTGATTTCAGTTGTTTAATTTTATAATTACTTATCAATTACTTATATATTGACCCGTTTACATTTCCATGAAATTGTAGTAAATTATACATATTTCATTCGAATTTCTTGAAATCATCATACATTTAATTTATCACGAGATCTAACTCCACAGGAAGTCCAAAACGATGTTTAACACAATATCACCAATATACAGAAGTTCAGAGGTTAAAAAACTCAAACTTATAACGAAAGATATTTATTGGGGAAATTTAGTTGCGGAATTTACACAGATATTCGACTCTTGCGACATCGTATGACTGAGCTGGAAGGTCAACCGCAAGCCTCTCCCTGGCCTCGCCCAGCGCCGCCCTAGCGCCGCGTGCGCGCGTATTCGTAGTACGACAAGTAGCCGTCTTTGTTGCCGTCTGCCTCCTCGAACACCTCATCGATCATCTCTGTTAATGGACATTCTGTATTTTCATACGCTTGTTATTAATTACTTAGTTTTGTGGTTAATTACCAACGCTTGTTGCTAATAATTGCGATCACTTTTTGTAATTCAACCATGCCCGTAGATAGCTACCAGAGTATGTTAAGATGCTTTGTATTATCTACCTAAAAGAAGTTAGGGAACTGTTGACCAGCATCGATTATTATAATTCTTTACAACAGTTAAGGTTTATTATAATCCTTTGCCCCATTCAGATGCATTCTGCGTCTTCTTACAGCACACCTCACCTGTCAAGTTGATTCATCTTCCAATGGCAGCACTACACATTGACTTTTTATACACATTCTACTGCTGAGGCACTCGGTTGAGTTTCTCCACAGTCCTACCTGCTGCGGCAGTTAGTTGACTCCAAACCCTACCTGCCAGCATGCGGCAGTTGGTTGACTCCCAAACCCCTACCTGCCAGCATGCGGCAGTTTGTTGACTCCCAAACCCCTACCTGCCAGCATGCGGCAGTTGGTTGACTCCCAAACCCCTACCAGTAATCTGTGGCAGCTGCTTCACATCAATGCCCTGCTCTACGCCTGGCAGGTGCACCACGTGTCCGATCGCCACCAGAATTTCCAGGCCGTCCAGCTTGCCGTTCTTGTCAAAGTCGTGCACCCTACGGCAACGTGCACCTCCCGTCAATTTAAGACTAATTCCTAACAATGCTGCGAAAGTAGGTATACAATAATCATAACAATATTTTCAGTAATGTAATATATGCTCAATAATATCAATCAAGTTCTTTGAAACTTGATAGTCATTTCTGTATGAGATGGAATTAGAGAAGCAGCATGCTAGTTCACTAATTGAGTGCTTGTAAATCTTGTGCTCCGGAGTCTGGCATCCGCGGCGAGCGGAAACCTCATAAAGTTCTAAACTCCATTAACATAAGAGTTAGATGCGGTGTGGAAGTTGTTAGGTGTGGGAGAAGATATGCGTTAGGTGGAAAGTTACGTGTTATGTGAAAAGAAGGTATGCGTTTGCTGTAGAAATACGAATTTGTTGTGGGAGAAGGTATGCGTTAGGTAGAAAGTTACGCGTTATGTGGGTAGAAAGTATGCAAAAGGTGAAGAGTTTTATTAGGTGTGGCAGAAGCCTGGGTTAGGTAGAAAGTCAGGGGTTAGGCGCAAATAAGGTGATGCATGAGCAGAGAGGTGACAAAAAATGGTTCTCAACTTAAAATGATGTGGGTGTTGGGTGGATAAATGGTTCTCACTTGAAGTAATGGTATTCCAGTTCTCCAGGCGACATCTTGCTGATCTGCTCTGCTGAGAGCTGATGCGCAAGATCCTCTTCCATGTGCCTGTAAGTTATGCAGCATCCATCATTAACGAACGGCCTATTCTAGTTCAGAGGTGATAAGTAACATGCACAGAAATGGACTAACTGCAACAGCATTCCAACAATTCTCAGTAATCGAGTGAAAAAATTCAGCGAGCCTTAATTGGTGCAACGAATAGGTTTGGTTGTAATGCTTGTGCTACGCAACTACTGTCATGCTTCCTAATGAAGCTCCCTCACTGATATAGAGATTGAATCAAAAATAAATATGGTTCAAAGAAAAAATAACCCTTTTCAGCAAAAAGATGTAGTTTCACTTTGATCGCTCATGAAAAATATATAGTTTTTATCTTAATTGGCGAGCACGCCACGTCAATACCGATATTAAAATCATAAATCGAGGCTATCCTCAATTCAAAAAGCTTTATATCTTGAGCACAAAAAATCGACGGTAGGAATCTACTTCCGCGTTTTTTTATGTAAAAATGTTTAAATGCTTTTTTAAAGTAATACTGTTTCATATGTTTAATTACTTTAAACTATTGACTCAGAATTTGTTTATTTTAGACCTAAAAGTCCGAATTTACTAGACAGAGACTATGTTTACAGAGGCATTTGGTCGAACTCTTTCGCCCAGTAATCAATGGTTAAGGGTAGGCATGTCGAGCCTCGTCTGGTAGATAAAATGAAGAGTTTATCGATTCTTTAAGGATCATCTATAAGGAAACGTCCAGGATGATAGGCTTTTCCTTCCGAAACGTTCAATTAGTAATGAGTATTTTATTGCCTGTCAAGTAATAGAAGCAACATTCTATGATGAAAGGTTTGTGCGTAAACGAGTATTTCTGATCGCTAATATCCCAACTCTGCACGAGGACGTTATTCACGTCAACTTTAAGAAGCTCTAGTGCGGCCATATCCATGCATAATTGTTACCCAAATTAATTAATAAATAGCATGCGTTTAAAAATTACTTTCTAAAGACAATACTTCCAAAGAATCCAGTGAGTGATTGAATTTCAAATTTTATTTTCGAGTGTAAAAAATAATTTTACAATTTTTTTGATAATAAAAAAGGTAAATTTTAAAAATATTTATTTTGTCATTTGATTCAAGCATTATCTCCGACTTTAGGCAAGTGTGCAAAATTTCAAATTGATTGGACAGGTAGAAGTGTGTTGAATAATAATTATAAGATTTTTAGCTGGCAAACAAACAACAAGAAGTGAAGTTAAAGAGAAGTGTTGTAATAATGACAATGCTTACTATTATGACAATATGGAAATTGAAATAAATATGATCCCAATAATATAAGAAATGTTTTTTTGGTGGCAGATGATCGGTCAGAACTAATGAAGTGATTCAATCATAGCATGAATAGTTTCATGAAAGAATCAAATCTGCTTTAGAATGGTATAAATTTGACCGTATACATCCACACTTTCAACAGATGTCGCTCTTTATTTTCAGTTTCTGTCTGATAGATTATCTATGACGATGAATACACTGAGATTTGAACACGCTTTCCAGTATTTAATGTTAAATTAGAAAAATTTCACATCAAATAGTTATCTTCATTTACTTCCTAAACGTCTGCACAATGTATGCTGCACCTCGAATTAGTCCTAAGGAATTTAAAAATTTACTAATTTTTAAATTATCACAGTCATGTTTTTTGGTACTTCGAGTAATGTATGAGACTGGATCATTGTTGTAATTAGGATACTTTGAGGTATACGTGACAGGAAAAAATATGTAAGCTTCACAATCAAAGGGTCACAATCTCCCTAAAACTATATCCATAGCAATGAAATAATATAACAAGTATACAACAGTAAGGTTCATACTAACCTTATTCTTGCATACATGAAAACTTACTGTATTATTGAAACATTAATTTAGTCTAAATTCACACATAAGATTCATTTGACTCACTGGCGGTCACCTAACAGCGCCTGGTCGTGCAGTATTCCGTCTCCTCCGCCTTCCTGTAAAAGATATTCCTCATGGTGCTGCCACTTTTTTCTAAAATTTACATGGTTTAATTACTATTTCAAAAGCGGTTCATTAAATTTTTCAGTAAATATCGTATTTTCATGTGTTGAGCAACGTTAAAGTCCATGAAAAGTTCTGTGCACGATTATGTTTATTTTTAACCTTTCGTTACTTGCGTGACTTGTCGGTCCCAAATCACTAGGTACGAATAGCATTGACGACGGTAAATGTATCCACAACGAAAGGGTTAAATTACTTATGACAGAATCGATCTGATGATGAGCTACACTCTGGGTCAACTGAAGGTGCAAGCATGATGTGGCATGCAAGAATTTCTGTTGTACCTGAGGGTAAAACATTTCACTCTACCCGTGTCTCTTAAACATGGCATGGAGATATAAGATATATCCCGCAAAATTCAATGCCACGAAATATTTACTGTAGTTGAAAAATGTTTTAGAATAAAATGGTATGAATTCATCCTGAGACTTGAGCCCAAGACCTGGCTCTGGCTCTCTAAAATCCCTCTCTCTAAAACGAGGGATTTTAGAGACGGGCTTTAGAGAGCGGTTTAGAGAGGAGTTTTAGAGAGGGGTTTTAAAGAGGGGTTTTAAAGAGGAGTTTTAATGAGGGTTTTAAAGAGGGATTTAAGATAGGGGTCTTAAAGAGTGGTTTTACAGGTTTAGTGAGTGGTTTTAGAGAGGGATTTTAGAGAGGAGTCTTAAAGAGGGTTTTTAGAGAGGGGTTTTAGAGTAAGCTTCTCCTTGTTTATTCCATGCATGGCATTATATCTCGAATTCCACTTGTCCATTAATGTCGGGTTGTTTTACTTGTCATGTTATGGAGAAATTATCTCAGAAATGATCTCTCTACTCTATCATCGAAGAAATTTCATGATATTTTAGTGAGCCATCATCATTCGTGATTTTTGTCTTGAATGAATAAGTATGAATGATTATATGGCTCACTTTAGACGTAGGCGCGTGATGTCTCTCCATGTGTTGATGATGATGGTATGCAGGATCACCGCGAGACTGCGTGCGCACCGCACAAGTCTTACTTAGCACCACTCCAAGCATCAGGATTGTGGACGGTTTTAAAAGTTGCATTTCTTTTTTTTTCAGAATATACGCAGAAAAGAAAGAACAAAGTCAAGATCTGCAAAAGTTGTCACTAAAGTGCGACTGGCACAAGTATCATATAAATAAGCCCACACAGCAATAATAAAATGTGCGACGTTCTACCTAAAGTTGTGTTCCCTCAAGTAACGGCGGATCGATGATTACAAGGTAAAAAGCTTTAATCCTTCTTTGTCCAATCAGAACAACTCGTGCATGAGTCTCGATAGAATTAAACCTCCTCAAGGAAAAATAAGGGAACCCAGACGACTCTCTCGGGCGAAAAAAGCGCTTATCTATATTGCAACGAATTTTTGTAAACCTACCTTACTTTCTCGTGCATCTTCGTTATTCAGAGACATGAAATGTCAAATAACATTCGCAATGTTTGCAACAATCGAATCAAAGTTGGCAGCGGAGGGAAGTGACTAAGGCAATGACTGAACAAAACAACAAATTCTTTAAATGAATTTATACCTGCATATGGTTTAAAACATTACACTCTGAAGCGTGCGATGCACTACACGCTTGTGTGTGATACACTACAAGCTTATTTATAATACACTAAACTACACGCATCCGTGTTAGTGTATCAAGTTCTTAGATAAAAAGCGTGTCTCACTCCAATAAATTTCACTCTTTGTATATATAACTTACCTGGAAGTCATAAGTACAATATCGCTTACTACCGACTAACGCTTCTGTTACCCTATAGCGACTAGCTTTATTACCCGTCACTGTAGCTTGAAGACATGTACCATAAAAGATCTGAATAATCAGACGTCAAAATAACGTAATAAATCGCAGATGATAATTAAAATATGAACTCTATTTTTGCAGATTTTTTCTAAAATTTTTAAAGAGCAGCCTTGTTCGTCAATAGAGCTTCTGTGCAGAAGTGAGATTATAAACATCCGCATAAATCCAGGTATTTATATGAAAGAAATTGGCTCAAAATTCATAACGATTATTTAAATTCTATTAATGTAGAAATAGAGCTCACTTTAGACGTTGGCGTGTGATGACGCTCCATGTGATGATGGCTATGATGAACACTACTTGTTCCCGTTGCTGCTACATCACTCAAAACATCACACAATATTATGATAATGAGAAGACTTGCTAATTTCCTATCTCTAGCCATATATTGTGGATACAAGCACGTCCTAAGCAACATCATTTGTCTTCCAGTTCACAGATTGTATGCCAATGAAAGATTTTTTTCCTTCCTATGCTGTATTTAGAAAAATAGTCCGATAGTTTCTCGATAAATATTTTATTACTTTTCTGACTGATTTCAATTTGTCGATAGGTCAACGGCACTAAACTTAAGACATTGTATGAATCTTATGGTCAGATAAGCAAGTGTGGAGCAAGATGGTAGTATTTCGTGTGTTCTTTGGATAATTATTTTCTTCTTACATGTTATTTAAAATAAAAACATTTATTTTGAATGCCTACTGTTGAGTCTGGGCTTCTTCGTGCTGACGAAAACTTATAAAAATAAATCAGATGCTGACATCAAGACGTCTGCAGCGAAAATTCACTGCATGGCAAATTCATTTGATGCGCGATTTAATGTTGTAATTTTATATAGAAAATATACGATTTGTGGCAGCAGTAGTGACGCTGTCAATCAGGTCGCTGGTCTCACACTGGCGACCCGAGAACTTAACTCTCCGCACGATGCAGCAGGCGGTTCCCAGAGCTAGGCACCTGCGTTGAGATAAACGCATGCTCTACTTGTCAAGTAATCAATATGTTTTATTAATCAAAATCGACAAATCAAAGAAGAATTTTTGATAAATCAACTTTGCGGATAATTTTTTAACGATTTAAAATGAACAATAATAGAGTTTAAATTATTTTCGAGTGATAAAAGCATGCAAATAGAATTTGCAATCCTTTTTCACTCTGATGTGCGTGATGGAATGGATTACGTTGGTCGCACGAGACAGAGCGTCTGCCCAGCTGTGGTGCTCATGCTGAGCGTCTGTCCAGCTGTGGTGCTCATGCTGAGCGTCTGTCCAGCTGTGGTGCTCATGTTGAGCGTCTGACCAGCTGTGGTGCTCATGCTGAGCGTCTGTCCAGCTGTGGTGCTCATGCTGAGCGTCTGTCCAGCTGTGGTGCTCATGCTGAGCGCCTGGCCAGCTGTGGTGCTCATGCTGAGTGTGGTACTCATGCTGAGCATCTGACCAGCTGTGGTGCTCATGCTGAGCGTCTGGACAGCTGTGGGGCTCATTCTGAGCGTCTGACCAGCTGTGGTGCTCATGCTGAGCGTCTGCCCTGCTGTGGTGCTCATGTTGAGCGTCTGACCAGCTGCGGTGCTCATGCTGAGCGTCTGTCCTGCTGTACGTGGTGCTCATGCTGAGCGTCTGCCCAGCTGTAGCGCTCACGCTGAGCGTCTACCCAGCTGTAGTGCTCATGCGGAGCGCCTGACCAGCTGTAGCACTCATGCTCAGGACATATTGCTTCATGCCAGCGAATTGCTTCTTCATGCATGCCAGCGCCAAGATGCCGTCAACTCTCGTGGCTTGCTCTCTTCATCCATCAAATATTACGTTACTTCGACGCCTGTTTTGAGTGATCGTACGGGTGGCCGAGCGAGCAACACCTGTGACATCACTAGAGTCAAGTGTTGAAAATTTCTGTGTGAATTTTATACGTCCGTGGCCAGCGTCCGGCCTGATGAGCTAAAAATATTTCACTAATTCAAAGCGCCTTCTTAGAAAAAAATGACTTGTGGAATTACATATTGAAATGATCTTAGAGTCGTTGACCTGATTGTGACTGATATAACGTAAAAGCATTTGATGTTTGATGAATATCATGGGCGGCAATTGTTTCCTTTTACGTTATTACTGAAAATCCGTTCTATGTCGATACTTCTATATAATGAAGCCAAATAAAAATGTCGTATTATATTATGGCATAATGTAATGTACAGTAAAATTTGCATGACAAGATGCGAGGAACAACCTTGGGATCTCTGAGCGCTGTCTCCAAGATAGCGCTCGCCCATGAAATGTGAATTCGAGTAAAACAACGAGAATGGCCTCCAAAACTGGAACTTGAACCATATCAATAAATTCTCTGTCGTTATGAGAATAGCATTTGGCAGCAGAAACAGAACACCAACAGTTACTGTTGAGAGTTGACAAGCATCGAGCTGGAAGTTTAGCAATAGATTTTTATTTTGCGACGCCTCATTTGTAATCAGTAACTACGGCCAGGGTCGGTCTGCTCGTTAGTTGTGTGAGGGACGCCGAACGCCACGCGTCGCTCTGCACTGCAAACGTCAAAAAATATAACTCAGTACTCACTGCAGTGAGTGACAGAGAGCGCATTTCTCGTCGACGAAAACGCGAAGTCACGGACGGACAGACAGACGGACAGACAGATGGACGGACATGACGAGCACATTAGCGCCTTTTTTCCATTAATGGCAAATTGCGCTAAAAACCCGCCGCCGAAATCAACGAATTTTCGAGTCGAGTTTTTACTGTTTCTCTAGCGGCTCTACGTTTTGGAGAATCGATTCCTGTTCAGTTTCAGTGTCGTGTAAATTTGAGTCTTTATTGAATTTATCCATGTTTATACAGGCGAAAAACTGCCAGAATCGGTGTAGCATTTGTAAGGAGCTATGATAAAATCAAATTCTGTTAAATCAAATTTGCGGATAATTTCTTAACTTTCCGACTCTCATTCCCTCAAAAATGTCTCAATATTCGCTCTATAATCCTCACTCATGCGCATCATTTACCATTTTTATTTAACGTGCATTTTAACCATCCCTTTTCTATGCATCATAAAAAGAGGCTACATGCTTTAAGAGAGCATAAAACGTGGCAGGCTCAGCGTTATGAGAGTCCAGATGGCCGTTAATGTTCCCTTCCCTTAAGATGACTTATTGCTACTATGCAGCGACCGCCTCATTCATCATCACTTGTTACTATGCAGCGACCGCCTCATTCATGACTTATTGCTACTATGCAGCGACCGCCTTATTCATCGTCACTTGCTACTATGCAGGGACCGCCTCATTCATGACTTATTGCTACTATGCAGGGACCGCCGCATTCATGGCTAATTGCTACTATGTAATTTATCATCCATCGCTAATTTATCATCCATTTGCAAGCACTAAGGAAACCGCTGCCTGAGCCGCATCAGTACAAAAGCTCCAGTATTTCAGCCGGAAACTTGGCACTTGGTAAAAATGAAATGGTAAATTCCACCGAATTTACCATTTCATGGAATTACCAAAATGGTAAATTCCACTTCTGAAAAAAAGTTCAAGTATTTAATGAATGGCCTATTAAGTTCTTTCATTAATTAACATAATAATCCCCGTGTGGGCGATCATGTCAGACTTATTTGCATCAAAGAACTTTAGGTTTTCCGAACAGTACTCTCATTTACCAGGAGAAAGAGTCAATGTTGAGAAAAAATCACATTATCACAATGTTAATATAGTTAGCTAGCATTGACATACATATATACTATATATATTTGCAAATAATGAAAGACTAGTACACATATTTTCCAGTGTAGAGTAAAATAAAAGTTCAGCGCATCAGTAAGTAAAATATTACCCATTGCTTTTCAAAAGGTTTATAATTACACTGAAAATGAAATGGAATGAATATTAATAAGTTGAAATACCTGAGCGATCGCCCATGGCGACCTATTCAATTACTTCAATGCAAGAACGCGTACTCAAAATAGGCATCCATAAACTATTTAATAAAATAACCTTCGATTGAGGTTGCGTTATAACCTTTTTCAACTGAGAAGTTTACTGGGAGCAGATCAGCCACAGTGCCGACCGTACATTACCTGAGCTCTTCTTAAGCTTATTGACATCTGTGATGTTAATACAAACTGTAAAAGATTTCTTTTAATAATAACCACAACACCACCCAGCAAAATACAAAAAAATCCTCTTTCTGGAGTGCACTTCTTGCAAAGAATTAAAAATGCTCAGCTCGCACCTTCAAAGCCGCGGCAAAGCCAAACGAATATAGAATGTCTTTGTCTCGGCGACGTCACTCTCAACTTTCTTTTCAGGTCGCGCCAAAGCGGACGAACGGAGAAAACCTGTGGACAAAACGTTCATCTGAATGCTTGATTTAATTTCATGAAATAGGAATAAATGTGAGGGACTGAAGTAAATCCTGCAGATTTTAAGAGATACAATGATTCTTTAAAAAAAAAGTTTAGTATTATAAAGAAATCTTGGTTTCCGATTAAAGAATAAAAATAACAGAATTACAAAAAGTTTGAGGTGTCTTGAGGATGCTGTCTCTACCGCCTTGCGGCTGCGTCGAACATTTCACTATTAGTCTTAGATTTTGAAATACTAAAGAAAATCTCAAGTTAGTATAGTGCTTACTTTATTTTAATTAGCACAAAGTTATCACGCTTTATGCCCTAGTTGCTCTGGAATTTCCTACTGATGAAATTATAATAGAATTCGTCTGAAATGAAAGAAGTACAAACTTTTCTTGGTACGATGAAGAGGCAAATAAAGTAGCTCCATAAACTATCCGCATTAATTGCCTGTCAGAAACTTACAGTCGCTCAGCTTCAATTGTCGTCGAAAGCTTCAAGTCGCTCTACATTAATTGTAAGCGGAACATCAAAAATTAATTTCAGTTGAACAGACCAAATAAAACCTTTACTCACGAGACGCAAACTAAACGCAGAAGCAGCGCTTTCAAGGCTACTATTATAATAAAGTATTTCAAATTTTTACTATTAATTACTGATTCATCTCATCCTAGTTATTTATTCAGATGTTATCGAGCGTCGCCTGTTTCGTATTCAAAAGAAGTGAAGGCGGATTTACCATTAATATTTTGCATAGCATTAATAGTACTATTTAGCCAGATAGATTCCACTTCAAACATTTTTCATTTCATGATTTCATAACGGTGCACATTTGCTCGGTGCAAGTATATTATGACCTGAAGGATGCGTGTTTCAAAATTCGCAATTTACATCAGTAATCCAAAGAGATTGCAATGGAGCCGATGCTGTTCCTATGTATGATAAACCGACTCCTAGAGCTCCACCTTGGTCGACTCACAGAAGCGGTCTACTTCTATAATCGTGGAAGGTTTTCAATTGAGGGTCTATATATTAGGGGGTCAGAAGATGGTCGATTGCGGAAAAAAATCAATTCGATTCAGTATAAATTTGTCGTATATCAAATTGAATGCACGTAAGGATGTCAATTAGTTTCGAGCTTTCGAAAGCTAAAGGAGACAAAAAGTTTTAAAGACAGTGACCCCAGAGAATTGCTGGTGCTCATCATGTTTACCCATCTCAAAGTTACCAAGTTCATCGATAAACAGGAAAGCTTACGCTTTTTTATTTAGTACGTTTTGACTAAAAGTATATTGGCCATTTCCATGGCACGTAAAATTATTGTCAATTGAATACTTAATTTGTTGATGCAGATCAAATTTGTTCATAATTTCTCAAGGGTCTACAAGATGTGTAGCTAAGTTTAAATGTAAAAATTTTCTGTAGGTAGCTTCTGTTATTTTCTCCATCACTTGGTTCGTGAGAAGGCTGTTTTTACTTATTGACTAATATTTGTTTAGTTCATAAAAATTTTCTATATTTCTGGTCAT